TTTATTTTATTCTAAGATACCCATGAAATTACTAGAGATTGCTGTTTCTATACTGCCCTGTGACTTACATGTCTTCCTGTGCTGGGGGCGTGCTTAAAGACTCATTCATTCAGCAAATGACTATTAAACCCCTCTGCTGTGGCAGCATCTGAGCCACGTCCCCAGAAAGAAGGAGCCTCAGGGCTTACCGCCGACATTTAGCTGTTTCTGTGATAAAGCTGTGCTGTACTGAAAGGTACTTAAGACCACTGCAGTCTGTGGTAGAAAATATGTGGATTGTTAACCTTGTGATCCAAAATAACTTAAATTATTTTCTCAATGGTAGGCTTTTGGATATTATTTCAACCATAAAGAAAGGATCCATCGTCTGGCAAGAGGTTTTTGATGACAATGTGAAGGTGAGAAGTATGAAGACTGCATTCAATTCTGATAATCTAAGAGGCTTGATATTGTAACATCCTGGATGTAACAAATCCTTAGGAAGCACCCCCCAATGCTGGGGAAATTAGCTTCCTTTTCCATTTAAACTTTGATTAGGCAAGAGCTGCGGACTGAGCCCAGTGTGAATGGTGTTTCTTTTCTTCCATGCACCTCCCTCTTCAGTGCCTCCTTCTCATCACTCCCCTCCTATCTCATTAATCACAAATAAGTACTTTGAAGTAAGTTCCTTTTTTCCAGGAATGGGCGAAATAAACACATAAGAACAAATGAGTCTTTATTGCTAGTAAGGTCATTTTAAGTAAAATAACCAAAGTACACTTGTAACTTTAAATGGCATCTCTCTAACATAGAATTCTTTATTTTCCTTTGGGCACCTGAGAATTTGCAAGTCCAGCTATTAGTGCTCCCTTTCCAGAAGGGCTGGTGACGTCCTCACCGTTTCAGAGTACGTAACAGTGTGGTAGAGACAGGACCAAAGCCCTTGTTCACTACACCTGCATCATGTCCTAAACAGGCAAATGTTAGATATCCAACCTGAAGGCTGATGCAACTTCTAATTGTAAGTTGCTATAAGAAACAGTATTTGGCACTAACTCTGAGGGGAAAGGGGAAAGAAGATGATGCGTGTGGTTTTTCAAGGATCTTAAAGTTATTTTTCTAGTTATAAATCTTGGACTTTAAATTTCATGTACTGTATTTGGTAGACCTAGCAATATATATTGCAATTTTTTATTTTAATAGCTTCAGCAAGGCACTATCATTCAAGTATGGAAACAGGACAAGTATGTTAATGAACTAGAGGTAATCACAAAAGCTGGCTTCCCTGTGATCCTTTCTGCTCCGTGGTACTTAGACTATATCAGTTATGGACAAGATTGGATGAAATACTATAAAGTGGAACCTCTTGATTTTAGAGGTAAGTGAAGCGACTGGCATTATCCTGATTTTCTTCTCTACCCTCCCACAAGGAAACCCTTACCTAGTTATTACCTACTAACCAGCCTCCCTTTTATGTTTAATCCTTGATTTTATTTGTGTTTACTAAAAAGAAGGGCCCCAGTATCATTGGAAACTTTGAGAAAGAAACCAAATCCTTCCCTAAAAAAGAACTTGAAAAGTAGATCCCCCTAGATTTTTATCTCCATTTTTAGGGGTGAGTCTTGTTTCTGCATTTTAAAGATGTTTGACTACGTTAACCTTGCATCTCCTCTTCTGAACTGCCTCTCCACTGTAAGACACTTCAGCAAGGCTATAGGCTAGTTCAGTGGATTTCCAGCTGTGTGGTCTGGAGGTTCTGGGGGAGCAGGCACAGAGGGAGCTTCAGGCTCCCAGACCCTCTTTGTAAAGAACAGTTTTACTCTGCCCTTTTTGTATACCAGACTTCAATGTAACATTTTGAGAAAAAGAATTTTGCTGTTTAAAAAAATTTTTTAAACTGTAGGTCTATCAGCAATTGACCTAACTTTCTCTGGAAAGTATTTTCTGAGAATCAAAGTCATAATTACTATAAAACAAAATATTAGATACTTAGTCTCTTTTTACTACCAAGAGATATAGATATTAAAGGCAGGGGTGGTAGTCCCTAGTATTCCAATTTTTATTCCCTGGCACACTATTCACAGAGGGGGGAAAAAGTTTCTGGTGACCGAATCAGTTTGTAAGCCAGTATCTTCATACCGGCACACGCTAAAAAGCACCGTATGAGCCACAGGGCCGGGGTGAGAATGAGGCACCCCTGCCGCGAACATCTGCCAGGGCCCTGCTGACTGCAGGAAGAAAGTGTTGCCCTGGGACAGTGGCAGGAGAAACCAGTGCTGCCTCTGTATATAAGCCTTAAGTCACAATCACTTCACTTACACTGATGCAATGATTTTAATGTAGGTTCTCAGCAGCAGAAACAACTTGTCCTTGGTGGAGAAGCTTGTCTGTGGGGGAGAATATGTGGATGCAACTAACCTCACTCCGAGACTATGGTATGGAATTTCAGTGATGGCATTTGAATGAAGGTGCCTTAGTTTCCCTTTTCTATCCAAGTCAGAAGGCATTAGGAATTTCCCCAAGTGTATAATTTAGATACTTCTTTAAGAAAACATGGATTAAAACTGCTTTGGGAAACATGTGGTTTAAATTTTAGGCCTCGGGCAAGTGCTGTTGCTGAGAGACTCTGGAGCCAGAAAGAGATCAGAAATCTAGACGATGCCTACAGAAGACTAACAGCTCACCGCTGCAGAATGGTCAGGTAAGACTCTTCTGCAAGCCAGGGGCACTACTGAGTCCAGGGTGACTTTTAGCCTCAGTGTTAACTAGCTTCTTGGGTATTTCTGCTATAAATACAAATGTATGTCACCTAAGAAACAGTGATTTAATTAGAAAAAAATTAGTAATACCTATGAGGAGAAAGTCTATTTGAACTTATAGCCATTTTATAGCTATGCTAAATTTAGGTGTGACTTGGATCTCCATTTTGATTTACTTTAACAATCTCTTTTCAGTAATTAGTGCTATAGTTGGTGATTCTGACTTAAGCTGCTAAGCTCTTTAAGATGGAGATGAGTCAGAGCGACCTAAAACAATCTTCCCCTCCTGCTTCACCTTCTGCAGACGCGGCATAGCTGCGGAGCCTCTTTACATCGGATACTGTGGCACCTGAGCTGGACCAGAAGGGGAAAGCCCTCAGCAACGCACTGCCGTGGACTCGGTTTGAAATCATGTAAATTAAGATTTGGTATATTGTTTTTGAATAAAATATATTTGAATTGATTGAACTTCTGTCTTCTACATTATATATAGAAGACTGGCAACTTTCTGTGAGAGTATCTTAAAAAAGCAACAACAAAATATATCGTTCAATGCGTTCAAAAGGGCTGTGTCTTTACTGACATGAAGGACCTCGTATAAACACGTGTAGTTCAGGTACGTTAACTTTCTACATCAGAGCACACTTCTCATGACATAAAGCAGAATGGGCCGCCACAGCGCCACTGTCAGGTTTAAGTTACCTCTTTCAGTTCCTTGAATGTATTCAAATGGCAATTTATTTGTCCAATAAATAAAGAATAAAAATTGTCCTTACTGATAACGAACAGGCAGATGCTCCTGAATTTCTCTCCAAGGACCTAGGAGCACTTAGGTCAGCCCACTTCTACGGTTGAGCAGGGCACTTTGGTCTTGAGGATTCATGGCTTGATAATTAGATAGTTCTAGGGCAAAAGTAGCTGAGCCCGATGTTACCGTCCGAAGAACAGTTGAATAACCCTAATCAAAATAATTTAAATCAGTTATCTCATCCAATTGAAGCCTCAAGTTTCTCTTCCTGTTGCTTATCCTTGAACCATTAACCAGGAAAAGTGATTATGTAACTTAACCATATCACTTTTTCAAATGGGTCACTCAATTATTTTCCTCAGGAAAAGTCTGATGTAGAAATATTGTGAGGACAGAAAACAGTAGTGTGGGTACATGTCATATGTGTTCCCTGGTCCCAGCAGCTGGTAAGAAGACTCTCCCAGCACCTGGGTGCTTGTTCTAGAGCAGAAGAGGCTCGTGGGGAGAATGACACTTGCCTGAAAACTGGCCATGATAGAAACAGGGTAAGAGCTTGAAAGGGAAAAAATGGAGGGCCGGCGCCACACTTTGGTACAGCACCCTCTGCTGTTGTGGAGGACTGGAGTGGTCCCCACGATGCGGCAATGCCCTGGATTCCCCGACCACTGAGTCCAGAGTCCTCACAGTTCCCGAAGGCTGCAATCTAACATGCACCTGCCAAGTCAAAGCCCTGATGCTTCTTTTTCAGGTGTCACTGATCGTTTATGTTTAGCGTAAATATCCCCCATATTAAAAAAAAAAAGAATATGTACTTTTCGGTCACGAAGTACCTACCATCATTTCTGCTAAGGGGACAAACCCAATAACAACTCGGTTGTCCTGACGACTCTGGATTTCCTGAATGTTCCCTCGTCTTTGTGCCAGGTCTGCCAGGACGGGGCTCAGGTGATCTCTAGTCACTGTAACCTCAAGGTTCATCAGGGGCTCTAAAACTTGTTTATCAGCTTTCTTTAGAGCCTAAAAAAAAAAAAATCAAAGAACATGAATTCCTCTTCCCTAAATTAGAAGTCACATTTCTGTTAAAAAATTCATTACAAATTAATATTCCCCATACCCTGGGAAAAGACATACACCTACTTTATAAAGCCAACATTTTGTAAGAAGTGAAAAATGTCAATATTCACTTGTATGCGGCCGACGACAGTACGTCCGAGCTCTCGTGTGGGGGTTGCCAAGGGGGTGCTGAGGGAGCCGCATCACATAGAGCCCTGGGCATATGTGGTCGGAGGTACAGTGAAAGAAAACGAGCCTTCGATCAAAGACTCAGTCTTCACATTTAAATGTCCTGTTTTGTTCCTGATGCCTATAGTTATAATCCATGACACATGTCAGGGCAATCAAAGAGGGAAACATGGGAGAGCTTAAAATACAGAGAAATTTAACACAATAGTGTGGTAGAAACACATCATTTATTTATAATACGGGGTCGGCTAAAGTAGGTTTACAGTTGTGAATACGTGAAACACAATTTATTCTTATACTATAATTTATTAATTTCCATACAACTATAAACCGACTTTTGCCCTCTCCTGTAGATTATCTATTCAGAATTTTAGATCTCAAAGACCAAGAAGAACAAGCACATAAAGAAAATATGAAAATTGAAAAAATCATAAGCAGTGTAGGGCAAATAGGAAGTGCACAAAACTGGGAAAGTAGCACTCATATAAATAAGACTTATTGGGGCCACCCGGTAGACACCATCCTTAACAGGATCATTTGCCAAACGACCTGGTAAGTGGGCTTTGGATGGAGTCTGCAAATACCATTAAGTACTGGTTAGTTCGATTAAAAAAAGCTATCCTACTTCTCCAACCTGCCAGACTGCAAAAAGTAACAAAACAACCACCTACAAATGCTGAGCCTCTGTTTGGTCATCAGGTAGGATGTAATCAATTTAGGATTAGCAATGCGAACCACATAAACAAGAGAGTTTGGCTCTGGAATGTGCCCCCGCCTCTATCTGGGTTTGGCTGATCATCTTTCTTTCTGCTCCCACCGCACCACTCACTTCTCACTATTACTAAGGCCTTCAATGGGGCCGTTCACGTCACCTATACTGTCAAAGATCGCTTCTGGGTCTCTTAACCCTTCTGTCCCTGACGCCTCAGCGCCTCCTCTCTCCCCTCCCTATTTACTCTCACAGTCATGAAAAATGGACAGACTAGTAAAACTAGAGTATATTCTGTTTATCACAGAAATTTCAAAAAAGTAGCACATAGTAAAACAACCTTTCAGTTCTTCATAGCTAATTAAGCCTTTAAAGTCATTATCAACTGAAATGATATCTATAGAAAAGGTATCTAATAGTCTTTGAATGAGAAATGTTATTAAAAATAATGAAAGTCAACAGCAAATGCCTCACCGTTATAACCTCTGTAGTGTCAGTTCCAACTGAGACTTTTGTGCCACTTCACATGTCTTTTAGAACAAAATAACGGAGTGGAAAAAGGTAAAAATTAAAGAGGAAAAAATACTACAACTAAGGGAAGCACTGAGTTCTGTGTAACTTTAGTAGGATTCGCTGGGCTCATGGATTTGTCCTTGGTCCTCTTTTCTCTTCACAGTCTTTTTCTTGGCGACACTGCCTAATGGCAGAACTTCAAATGTCTTTGCACGGCTTCCTCAAAAACCTTAAACTTCACCCAGCTCCCAGTCTCCGAGTGTTCTGGCCTTGTACTCCACTGGCCTGCTTGAGGACAGCGTCTCGGCAGCCTACCTACAGCACCCAAACTAAGCTCGTCATTTCCGTTCCCCGCCCTCTTGTCTATTCTTTCCTCTTTCTACTGATGGCGTCACCAGTCTTTGCTTCACCTGGACATGCACCTTTGCCTCTTCCCCAAGCCCACATTTTGCTGTGTATTATACTGCGCCCTTTTCAGCCCATTATAGTTTCTGAGAGAAAAATAAGGGTGAGCATTATACATGGGAAGTATTAGTTCTGTACCTATATAAATATTTTTTATGTTTATTTATGCTTATGGGTTAAAAGTATAACTCTAGAAAGTAATAACATCTGTATGCAAAATAATACCCCAGACTATGATAAAGTTTTGCTTCTAAATATAAATAAAAATTGAACTTAAAAATTAAAACAAAAGATTTTTCCTCCTGAAAGTTCGGGCCAAAAATCATGGGTCCACATTACACATGGCGAAGTAACGGTGATCCGGAAGACTCCCATCCTCACTGCACTCCCATGCTGTGCCTGTGCTCCCAGTCAGACATGGCTCAGCGCACTCTCTGTCCCAAACCAGCTCTTCCCTACTCCGGTCCCCCCTGGATTCTAACGATGACTCTGCCCGCTTCAAAACCTACTCATCACTGTTCTCAAAACAAACCACAGACTCCTATACTTTTAAAAGGTTTCTCTACGGTTTGACTCTATTTTACTTTCCCAACACTAATTTTCACTACTCTCTTGCCTTCATCTGGCACCTGTAGCTAAAGGGACTCTAATTCCTCCCTGTCTGGAATGCTTCCTACAGAGCCCAGATTCACCAAATCATCACGGCTCAAATATTTGTTCCTTTCCAATAATCCCACCCAAACTGCACTTCGCAGCTTTTGTGGTTTAGTCCGTTCTATGTAATATTTTGTCTACTGGCTATATTTAATTCCCTTTTAAATCTAAAGTTCCTCATGGTCAAGAAAAATGTATGGATCCTGTATGTCCATTTCAGTGCACTGTAAGCACAACACGAATGGCTCAATAAATATATGAGCATCACTGATTTCTCATAAGCAGGGGAAGGAGTTTCCCCACTAGCTAAAGCTTAACAAGGGCTGGAGTACTTTCATTAGGAGTATTTCATTTGAAGTAATGAATTAAAACTAAAGATTAAGTGCAAAGCCCTATAAAGTTCATTGTTTTCTAGTATAATCTTAATAAAAAGGCTAACCAACTCCCAAATACTTATAATTTTATTTTTAGAAGGCATATTAGATTTTGAAGGACTGGCCAATATATTGGGGCTTGGGGTTAATTTAGAAACATTACTCATCTTTCAGGTTATCACTACTTCAACATTAAAGCCAATTTCAGGAGAACTTTAAAAATTACCAGAAGGTAAATGTTTTTTTAACAATTTAATCATGACTGTAGGAGATATTTCTAACTATATGCTTAGGCAAACAATATCAATAATTTTATTTGTGTAAGTATTGTTTCTTGATCAAAAACTTTTAAAAATGTATGAATTTCAACATATGAGGTCTGTCCAGAAGGTATCAGCCATGTAACATGAAAAATAGAGACGTTTATTGAAGAAGAGACAAGATACAAGAACACTGGACACAGGACAATGACGCCTCGGTCCCTTTCAAAGTAGGCAGCTTGGGACCAATCTCATAGTACAGTGGCTTTGTGCCTGGGATGGGGAAAGCAAAGTTGCCACTTAAAAAAATCTGCCTATGTGCCGAAATCAGAGGACATTTTGTAGCTAGTATGTTAAATAGTAAGATCTTAGACCATCTTTGCAAATAAAACCCTGGTGATTAAAGAAATCGAAGATTCTCCGCGGTAAAAACTCTCGCTGACTGCGAGGCTCGAGAAGCGAAGACACAAGGTCAGCACTGCAAGCACAGCTGCCTGCGGGTCAGTCAGCACCACTGTCAGGACAGTCACCTTAAAGCAAAACGCACCAGGTGGTTACATACCTTCTGTGTACATCTTGAGACACAGGCAGAAATCATAGTTGAAGAGGTACCAGGATGAATTATCAGCGAATGTAAAGTAACTGCCACATCTTGAACTGGGGATCCAAGCAATGGTCCTAGGCAAGGAAGAACATGTGTTAGAACTCAAGATGCAGTGAGGAGTAGCTGAAATATAAAGAAAGAGGGAGAGAATTACACTCCCAGTTCGACATGTGAGGAGCTTGGAAGTCATCACTCAGTCCTAACAAGTAAAAAAACAGACTGACAAAGCAACTCTTCTCAGTTCTGTAAGAGAGGGGAGAACACAGGGCAAACCACCGCCCCCAAGAACGGAGAAGGCAAACACAGGGGGTCAGAGCTTCCTGGAGCAGAGACTCACTGGCAGAATATGCCCCAGGAAGCAGTGCCGACATAGGAAAACCTGAACTGTAATTGATAAACTGCTGGAGGTTCAGTGTGGACAAATTTGAGAGTTAAAAACTCCAGGGGTACCTGGTCTTTTGGAGGGACGGGCAGAGGCAGGGGACCTAGTTTTGTGAGATTTAGCAGCTCAAGCAGATTCTCACAGTAAATATCAGAGAAAAGTCTCCTTGTGCTTCTGGTAGAAGAAGGGGAAAAGAAACCATTCTAAAATACACTTGACCCTTGAACAACATGGGGAAAGTAAAAGAACTGACCCCCAAGCAGATGAAAATCTGAGTATAAGTAACTCTTGACACCTTCAAAATTTAGAGTCAACCTTTCCCTTTTTTTGTATCCACTGGTTTCACATCTGTGGATAAAACCAACTTCAAATAAAAAACAGTACTTCAGAGCACTCTGGTTTTATTATTATTATTACTGACTTTTAGAGAGAGAAAAAAAAACACATCGATTTGCTGTGCCACTTATTGATGCATTTTTTAGCTGACTCTGGTATGTGCCCTGTCTGGAGATCCAACCTGCAACCTTAGTGTATCAGGATGATGCTCTAATCAACTGAGCTATTTGACAAGGGCCAGAGCACTCTGTCCTTAACAAGGCCTGCCCTCGGGCGAACCAGAACTTAACCTGCAAGGGGATTATCGTCTGAGTCTGATGTGGGAAGTACCCTATTCCAGATCATTATGGCCACTGTGCCCCACCGAGGGAGGATGGAAACGAAAGAAAACAAGAATCACTTGTGCAGTTCACAGTCCAGAGGCAAGGGTTTACTAAAAGACTGAGACCTAATCCCAGGGCTACAGAATGCGTCCCATCTCCCACACCTCACCACTGCATTACCAAATACCTATTTACAGTAGTTCCTTTTACCCAGTACCTCATGTCCAGCTATCAAAAAAAATTACAAGGCACATTAAAAGACAAAGAGCACAATCTGAATAGACAGAACAAGCATCAGAACCAGACGTAGCAGGGATGTTGGAATGATAAGACCAGGAACATAGAACAACTATGATTAACATGCTAAGGGCTCTAACTGATAAAGTAGACAGCATGCACGAATGAACAGGCAATGAAAGCAGAGAGATGAAGTCCTGAGAGAAACAGAGCCCTGGCTGGGTGGCTCAGCTGGTTGGAGTACTGTCCTGTATACCAAAAGGTTGTGGGTTCAATTCCCAGTCAGAACACATGCCTAGTTGCAGGTTCAATCTTCAGACCAGCCTCATACAGGAGACGTCTGATCAATGTTTCTCTCTCACATCAATGTCTCTTTCTATTTCTCCCTTCCCCTTTCTCTAAAAAATAAAAAAAAAACAAATCAATGAACATGTCCTTGGGTAAGAATATAAAAAACGCAAACAGAAACGTTGGAGTATAAAAACACCAGAACGGAAGTAAGAATGCTTCTGCTGGGCTTGTAAGTAGACTGGACTGGGCTAAGACTCAGTTACATAATTAGCAGAAACTTCCCAAACTGAAAAGCAAAGTGAACAGAAGACTGAAAAAACAGAACAGAATCTCCAAGAACTATGGAATAATTACAAAAGCTGTAACACACAGATAATAGGAAGAGAAAAGGAGAAACCCTACCAACGTTAGGAAAAAGACTGAAATAATCTGTAGTATTGGCAGTGACTGAGCGGTTGAGTGTGATACTCATGCTTCCTCTCACCTGCGTACCTTACCTTGGAGGCATGCACTGTGAATGCCATTCTCAATGGCCTCTCGGGAGCCCCTCAGAATGTCTTCACTAACACTTTCGGCATACTCAATAACTGGCATAACAGATGATGTTTCCACGGGTTTTACTTCCAGTTCCACAGTCACAAGGTGCCGTCTGTCTCCTAAAGTTCTATCTAAGGTATCTGTAAACAAATTGAATGTGGTGCCTCAGAGATCTGTTCTGAAAAGGTGTCAAGATGCCACTACTTGGAAAACTGCAATTACCAAGTTCAAGCTCTCATGAAATACAAAGTAGGAGAAAATGTTTACAAGGGCACTAAGTATGGTATAAAAATGTCAAAGTACTTCTATCAAAAAAGTATCTGCTTCCATGTTCATCAATGTTAAAAGCCCGCTCTGAATCACCTATTAACATTGCTTTAGTTAAGTTGCTCTGAGGCAGCCCTGACCACTGTGGCTCGGTTGGTTGGGCATCGTCCCACAAAGTGAAAGGTTGCTGGTTTGATTCCAGGTCAGGGCACATGCCTGGGTTGTGGGTTCAGTCCCTGTTTGGCATACATAAAATGAGCAACTGATTGATGTTTTTCTCCCCCTTATTCATTCCATCCCCCCTCTCTAAAAATAAATAACATCTTTTAAAAACAAGATGCTTCGAGGCAGCTGATCACACAAATTTTGATATGCAGATTATACTCAAAGTTTTTGAAACATGTATGTGAAATTCTTTTTTTTAATATATATTTTTTAAGATTTTATTTATTTATCTTTAGAGGGGAAGGGAAGGAGAAAGGGAGAGAAACATCAATGTATGGTTGTCTCTCATGCGTCCCCTGCTGGGAACTGGCCCACAACCCAGGCATGTGCCCTGACTGGGAATTGAACCCGATCCTCTGGTTTGCAGGCCCGCGCTCAATCCACTGAGCTACACCAGCCAGGGCCCTATGTGAAATTATTTTAATAATGAAAGTTTTATTTAAAAGTAAAACATTTAGGCGAAAATGTCATATAATGAAAATTAAAAGGACATTAACCCTGCTAACCTAAAAACTTAAATTTCATATATTCTTCTAGTAATATTACATGCATTTAAAGTTTATACTTTCCCCCAAAACTAGTGAAATGTCTTTTTGTAAAACTAAAAATATTGTCTCTCATTAACCAACAACCAATAGCCGTCACCAATCTGCAGGCTATATTCATGTGAATGACCATGTAATGCAATAACTCACAGCCCAAATTCAAAACTAAGAATTAATCGTAGCCTATAATTCCTCTTCAAAATTCTTTTATGTTTTATACCCAAGGACATGCTTCTTGATTTTAGAGAGAAGGGAGAGGAGGGAGAGAAACATCGATAGGTTGCATCTCACATGCAGTCTGTCCACAGACCAAACCCGCAACCTAGGCATGTGCCCTGACCAAAATAGAACCTGCAGCCTTTAGGTTTACGAGACAATGCTCTGACCAACTGAGCCACACAGACCAGAGCCATAATTCCTTTTAAAGCTAACATCTATTATGAACTACTTTATAATTACAAATATGTGCATAAGCTAAAAATAAAATGAACATTGAGGAAACCTAAAATTACTAAAGAAACAGAATATTACTAGTAACCTAAAAACCTTCTGAAGCAAACACTATCATGACATTACATTTAATCATTACCGTGATTTTCTTTAGAGTTGTATCAGATATGCATGCATCCCTAAACAACATAGTTTATTTCTGCTTCGTTCTGAATTTGTTGGTATATCGTATGTATTCTGCAGCTTGTTTTTTTTTTTTTGGCTTCACATTGGTGGGTCATACGGGCTGATTCATGTTGATACAGCCCATTGTTTTTCATTGTTATATAGTATTCCACGGTGTGGCCATGGTATCATTTATTTATCCATTTCACTGTCCACAAATATTTTGGCTGTTTTTCTACTTCCAGTTTCTTTTTTAAAAATTACAGCACTATTACAAAGATTCTTATCTGTCTCTCCTTGCACAAGAGTTTCTCTGGGACATATAGCCAAGAGTGGAATCGCTAAATAGTAAGGTCTGCACATGGTCAATTTCACAAGAAAGTTGCCAAGTTTTTTCCGTAGTGGTTACATAATTCACAGTCCCACCAGAAGTTTTTATAAGGGTTTCCAGAGCACAACATCTCACTGCTTTGCATTGGCAGAGTTTAATTTCTATTTTGTTGATATGAAATGGTATCTCATACTTTTAACTTTCACGATCCTACTCATTTCTGAGATTCAGAATCTTTTAATATGTTCATGGGCCTTTTGGATATCATGTTATGTGAAATCTGTTCAATATTTTTTCACTCATTTTTTCTATTTAGTTGTCATGTTTTTACTGATCTTTAGAAATTCATTATATATTCTGGATCCAATTTTTTTGTCAGTTTATGGGATGCAAACATCTTCTCTCAGCTCTTGGTATGTCTTTTTGTTTTATCATATATTCTGATAACATTAAAATTCTGATATCTGAATGCATAATATTAATCCATATTAATATCTGATAATATTAAAATTCTTAAATTTTAATAACATCAAAGTTAGCAATCTTTTGCTTCACTGTTTCAACTTTTGGTGTTTTGTAAGTCCCACCCTATCCTAGTTAGTAAGGCAATTCTCCTACATTTTCTTCCAAAAAATTTAAGATTTGTCTATCATAAAGTTTATGGCTTTTTTTTAACATACATTAGCACTTACCTTCATTTTAAAAAAAATTATATTTATTTTTATGGATTGATTTGAGAGAGAGAAAGTGGAACATCAATTTGTTGTTGCACTTATTCAAGCATTCATTGGCTGCTTCTTGTATGTGCCCTGACCAGGAATCAAACCCACAACCTTGGTGTATCAGGATGATATCCTAACCAAATGAGCTACCCAGCCAGGGCTAGCACTTATTTTCCTTATATTGTGTGCTCCAAGGGAGATTCTGCAACTCCTCTTTCATATTTAGATTTTTAAACTCATTTGGAATTAACTTTTGGGCAGGAGATGAAGTAGAAATCTAATGAAATCTTTTTCCACATGGATAATTATCCCACAGCATTATCAAATAGTCAGTCCATCCTTTCCCGCTGAGCTGCAGTATCACTCTGACATGAACCAAACTTCCACATTATGTATGAGTCTGTTTCTAGGCTTTCTGGTTTGCCGCACTGGTCTATTTGTCTATTTATAGGTTGATTAGTATCATAAAGACTATGGCTTCACATTAAGTATTAATGTCTTGTACACTTCTTTGGGTGGAATTGGTAGCTTTATGATATTTAGGCTTCTCATCTATCAATAGTACAATTTTCCATCTCAGGTCATTTTTAATGTCTGTAAATGTCTGTAGTTTCCTGAATGAATGTACACAGTGTCAATCGGCCCATCAGTATCACTAGTGATTTGATCATCCAGTCAAGGAGTGGTCTGAGGGCTGAACCATCTAGGTACTATGTTTTTTACCTTGTAACCAATAAGCAATCAGTGGGCAGATACTTTAAAACTGTGCAATGTAGCCAATCAATAGTAAGTACTCACAACAGTTGCAAAGTGACTATTTTCCTGCCTCCTGAACAACTAACAGCACTTGGCATTCCATTGTAAGGAAGCACCCTCTTTTCTTCCCTACGTATTTGTTTATTACCATTAGAGACTCCTGAATTCCTACTTTTTCTCAATGGTTTATCACTACTGTGTTTAATTATTCTGGTGTTCAAACTGAACAGATCTGGCCAGAGGAGCCTCTTCAAGTTAATTCTCATGTCCTCATGACACGCCCTCATCATTTTTTGTTGTTGAGCATTTCTTCTTTCTTACACACATGATGTTCTATTGCCTGCTTATTTTTGACAGCCTTTTGCTCCTTACCGATTCCTTCTATTCTCTTTTCTTTTTTAAAATTATTTTATTATGGTTCAATTACGGTTGTCTGAATTCCGCACCCCCCCACCAGCCGAACCCACCTGCCTCCCTGGCTTCCACCCTCCTCCCTGGTTTTGTTCATGTGTGCTTTATAGTAGTTCCTGAAAACCCGTCCCCCCACTGTCCCCCCCTCCCCTCTGGCTATCGTTAGATTGTTCTTAATTTCAATGTCTCTGGTTATATTTTGTTTGCTTTTTTCTTTGGTTGATTATATTCCAGTTAAAGGTGAGATCATATGGTCTTTGTCCCTCACCACCTGGCTTATTTAGCATAATGCTCTCCAGCCAGTTCAATCCTTGCTGTCACAAAGGATATGAGCTCCTTCTTTCTCCTTGCTACATAGTGTTCCATTGTGTAAATGTACCACAGTTTATCTTAAAAACAATAAATATACTTATTTTATATTCTGAATCTGATGGTTCCAATATCAGAGGCCTTTGCTGCTCTAATGTTTGTTTGTATTGCCTTTTTGCTCATTGTGCCTTTTCTCATGGTTTTACGATTAAAAGAATTTTTTTTAAATTCTGACTTCACATTTCTTTTTCTGTGGGATTTTCTTTGAAGCCTGGGCTAAAGATACATTTATGTAGAAAGGCCATTTGTTTTCACCAGCTTCCTGGGAATATTACCAATTCATGAGAGCACATTACATTAAATTCTTCTTGGTCTGGAGTTTTTCAGGTCATACCAATTCTATTAATTAAGGCTGAAAAATCCCATCAGAAACTTATGGTCACAAATTCTCAGGAATTTTGCCCCTTATTCCCAGAGCCAGTTAGACCAGTTTTCTTGTCTCCTTTTATTAAGAAGAATTACCTAGTTAATTATTTCCTAGGTTACAAGTGACCACAGCTGCTGGTGCTGGTACTGACTTATTTTACCAGATTCCTGCCCAGCTTCCTTTTTGACCCCTGGAAATTTCCATCATGTTCTAACCAGCTCAAACATTAATGTTAAAGATGTCACTTATATGTTCCCAGTATTTTTAGTTTTTATGGATATAAAGCTCAGAAACAGAAATCCTCATGTCATTTGCTCCTATACTCTATTTGCTTAGTTTTTCAAGTTTTAGTGAAAAAGTAACCACCTGCTCTTTTTAGAAATCACTGAGTAGCTTATATTTAAAATCTTTTCTCTACTTTTCTGTGTTTTTTCCTTGAGAAGACCAGTAATAATGTCATGCTCCTTTGCTTAAGGGAATTGAATTAAAATAACAAATCATGAATTCTTACATTTTGTGAAATATAAAAACTGTACTTTCATTAACATAGGATGGTAATATTTATCACCACCCTATATATTTATTAATACTTAATATTAATAAATGTTTGTTATTGATATTAATTAGTTAATATCAATTTAATATTTAATAGTTATTAAATAGTGGGAATTACTTTCCACTTACTTTATAGAGCAAAAATAATGCATCAACTTCATTTCTGCTTCCTTTCTTAAAAGCTAACTATCTGTGTGTCTCAGTTTAGGGTTTTTTTTGTGTGGGTACCTTTAGGTTTATGAAAAAGAAAGTTTCACATATATTGTAGTCCTTTTTCTTTTGAATGCATCTGATTCAACTTCAAATTTTTATACTCATCCGGGCAGTAAGGATCAGGACAAGCCCTCCCCTTCAATGGCTTATTCTAGTCCATCACCACCAAAAAGCATCTGCTTGGTGAGTGGCTTATCCAGTAAGTGCAATGAGTAGTGATAGAATAGGGCTGTGTTTAAAATTTGAAAATGTTAAGAAACAAGAAAACACACATATAAAGCCTATCCACACTGATGGAAAACACTAATGACTGTGAATCTTGCTTGCAACTAAGTTAAGAGGAAACAGATCCTGGACAGAAAGAGAGAAACAAAAACAGCAAGTGTTTTTATTTCTACCTGTGGCACGAACTGGACTTAGGATGGTCTCTCGGTATGCGACCTGAAGGGGCCCCAGGTAGGTTTCCAGGCCATATTCTCTCTTGATGCGGTCGTGAATGATTTCAATATGTAACTCCCCCATTCCACATAGGACAGTCTGGTTAACAAAAAGAATATAAAAGAAAGATCAAAGAAAATTATGTTTATCACAAAATACTATATAAAGGTATATCAGTCTAGATTATTTTTCATTAATTACAAACTGAGTTTCTTTTACAATTTTTTTGGCTCCTACATCAAAGCAGTTTTTAACTTTTCTGATTGAAATAATCAACTAAAAGTGAACTACTAGGCCATTCTCTTTTATATTATTATTCCATAATAGTTGACTTAGCTGAGCAAGTGGCATCTAGCAAGAACTACACTGCCCAACCACATAGCTAAGTTCTGGCCAATGAAACATGAGTGTAGCTGATGTTAGCAACTTCTGCACTGTGCCTTTAAGGAAAAGTAAAATTCCTTCTCTGAAGGAAGCCGCAGGCAACTGTCTTAAAACAGGTAGATAAGGGCAACATCTTATGAATGGGAGAAATAACCTTTCTCCCAACCACATAAGTATTTCCCAACAGTCCTGACCACCTCAAAGCTTTGTGGGCAGTCCAAACTTCCAGACTCATGAAAAAAAACTGACTTTCATTTTCTAAGAACCAATGTTATTTTGGGCCCTTGTTAAGAAAAGCCAAATTGGTGTTAAAACCAATCAAGACATGCATTATTTTTTTTAGCAACAATAGCTATTCCTAAATAAGGTCTTTGTATATTAGAAAGAATATAGTGCAAAAATCCATATTTGCTCCATTTTATTCACATGCCATCTGTGCAGTGAAGAATTTACCTGAAGAGAGATCTGGCTGTTGCCCTCAGCTACTGAGAAATTCTATCTAGGCCAGGATGCTGCCTGACAGAGGTGTTTATGCTTGTCTGAGGGCTCTGTCCACAGCTGGTCAAACAATGTGATTTATGATACAGGCTTTGGAATAGCGACCTCAGCTCCAACCTGGAGAGTGAAGGTATCAGTGCAAACCTACAGGAGGTACTAAAGGCTACAGGTCAACCACACAGGCAGTATGTGCTTGAGCCTCGATAAAAACTGGACACCAAAGGCCCAGGTGGGGCTCCGTGGTTGGCCACACTCTTTGCCAAGGAGGTGACACGTCCCTGAGGATGAAGAAAGCTTCCGATTTAGAACTGTCCCAGACTTTGCCCTAGGAGTGTCTTCCTTTGTTTGGTTCTAATTTCTATCCTTGGCTGTAATAAAAATAAAACTGTAAGGAACAACAATACAAAAGACTGGTATATGGTTGTTATACTTTAATGTAAAGTTAAAGAAGTAAATTATTTGGAAAAAAAGCAAGTTGTGGAATAATAGAATGACTTGTTACACATCTGTGTGTGTGTATATATATATTTGGAAAAAATATAATGTACTTTATAACACAGCATAGCAGAACAAATGTTTTAAAAAGTGTGAAAAGCTATAATCATACAGTTTTCACAGTGGTTACCTGTGTAGAATAGGACTAAGAGATAGAGAAACTTGAATCCTTCAAATCTATACACTTGTGTGTTATTTCTTATTTTTAAAAAAATGTGTATTGGTGTTTTATTAAATAAAAGTTTTTGTTTTAAATGCTATTATAGCATTCAAAATCAATTAAATTACTGTTCACTTACTGGCATTTGGGAAAATTAAGTACCCCCTGTTTTTCAGATTAACTAAATCAGTTCATCCTCTTTAAGACAAATTTATAATCATTTTAAGGAATTTCTTATAAAATCTTATGTAAAAAATTTACCCTATTTATTTTTATTAAATACACCATCAAAAGTGATACTTTAATACAATCAATGAACTGATATGTATACCCTACCACTTTATAAAAGATGTTAGAAGTTCCACAAAGTGTAGCTGAAAAGCTGAGCAATGGATTAATGAACCAACTTATCAGCCACACATTTAAACTGCTCTTAGTTATATAAACCAGGCCTTCTGGACCTGCCTTCCTAAAATGAAGATAAAGAATAAACATCCTTCTGTGCTATAACAGCCCAGTTCTGTACCTACTCTAGAACTCTCTTTCCTCCCACACTGCTAGGTTGGAACCTACCCCTTCTCACCCGCCTTATGTGTGCCATTACCATTAAAAGCACCTTTGCACCTTCCCTTTAGTTTGCCGCTTCTGTAAGCCTTGGCATAAGAGGCTCAGCGTTTTGTCTTGGGGTTCAACCATGGTCTAAATGTTGCAGAGCAGTTTATATAAATGAGGTATAATTATTTTAAAGAATTAGGGAGAACTTGTCTGTCTAGCTTGACAGTCAACATAACATAATAATTACTTTATATTATGAGAACCAAAAAAGACATTTTTTTTTCAGGGCCACAGACCAAATCACGTTTGGTCTATATTTTAGCTCTAGTCACTTACACTCATGCACACACACACACACTAAATTATCAACAGATATCTGGGGTTAAGTAACAATATGCCTACCTGTCCAGAGTCAGGATCAAGCTTCACTTTCAAACTGGGATCTTCACGCTGAAGGCACTTCAATGCATGATCCAAATCTGGGGGATAAACAAAAACAGTTACCGTTACATTTCATTTTTTAGATAATGTACCATATGTTCTAGTGGGAAAATAGATGAGCAAGCAAACAAATTCTGAAAAAGAAAACTTCAAGCAGCCATAAATGTTTGGTAGAGAATAAAATAAGGTGAAAAGGCAGAATAGGTTACTTGAGACTGGGTGATCTGGGAAGGCTTCTCCACAATGATTTGGGTAAAGACATTTTAAAAATGACCCTATACCCTGGCTGGTGTAGCTCGATGGATTGAGCATGGGCCTGTGAACCAAAGGATCGCAGTTCGATTCCCAGTCAGGGCACATGCCTGGTTTGTAGGCCAGTTCCCAGCAGGGGGCACACAAGAGGCAACTATATGTTAATACTTCTCTCCCTCTCTAAAGATAAATAAAATTTTTTAAAAAATGACCCTATAAGCAAAATGCTGAAGAAAACCAGACAGAGGAAATGGGTGTACAATGAATAATCTGCCATTGGAAAACGATGAGAACGCCAGTGCAGCCTGATATGGGTGGGCAGAAGGAAGGGTGGCATCGGGGAGAAGGCAGATGTGCTGCAGGGCTTGTAGGCCACGTGAGGAGTTCACACTTGCAATGGGAAGCTACCGAAGGGTGTACGTGGGGCAGCAACATCACCTGACTATGCTCTGCAAAGGTCACTCCAAGAGCTGACAGAAAAGCAAAATGCCTTCACAAACACAGACAATAATGGGAAACTAGTAAAAGGAAGCTAAAGTACATCATGAACAAAGAGGTGGTGATGTAATCACTCTGTGACAAGTAATCATAAGCAAAGAGGTAATAAGAACATATTATTTTCATTAAATATACCATCAAAAGTGATACTTTTATACAATCAATTAGCCAATATGTATACCCTACCTCTTTATAAAAGATGTTAGAAGTTCCACAAAGTATAGCTGAAGTAAAGAACTGAGCAATGGATTAATGAACCAACCTTATTGGTCACACATTTAAGCTGTTCTTACATATATAAACCAGGCCTTCTAGACCGCCACCAAGGTGGTGGCCACTACCCATCAGTAGGTATTTACCAATCTGAACTGACATGCGCTGTAAGTGTGAAATACACACCAGGTTTCAAAGACTTATTATGAAAAAAAAAGAGTAAAATATCTCACTTGTTATATTGATTATTCGACTAATATTTTAATTTCCTGGGTTAAAGAAAACATATTACTAAAGTTAATTTTGCCAATTTTTTAAATGTGACTGTAAGAAAATTTTAAGTTATGTAAGTGGATTATGTTTTATTTCTACTGAACAATGCTGTTCTAGACTCAATATTCCAAAGTTGGGTCCGAGGACCAGCAATATAGGCACCACCTGGAACCTGTTAGAATCTTAGGTTCTAGGCTGAATCAGAGTTTGCATTTAACAAGAACCCCAAGAGATGTACACACACATCCAAGGTTCAGAGGCTTATTTTAGGTAATAATTTATTTTTAAGCACCTACAGATAAAGAAAGTAACAATGCTTACGATACTTTGTGGCTTTTAGAATGACAAGGTGGTAATTTTATTATAAAAGATACGACTTTATTAAAAAATATTTACAAGGAATACATCCCTCAGTTTATTGGGGTGAAAACACTAACAGCATTACAACACGGGTTGTCAAGTCCTGTAACAGGACCAAAGGGTAAATACAGTGGAAGCCCAGAGAAAAGTGTGGGCAGATCTGCTTGTAGGAAGTCTGAGTAAGGGCGGCTCTGGGAAGTCCTCTGCTCTCTGGAGTCCAGGACCTCTGAGCTAGTGCCCATTAGACTTTCTTTGGACACCTAATGTAGGTTTTCTCCTAAAGCAGTTATGGATTGAGGCCTTAGATTTTAAAACTGGCTGGTGCAACTTAACTACAATCCTGCAATTTGAATACAGGTGGACACACTACATACATATGAAATGAGTTTCAAATATATTCAAAAGAACTCATAGGTTATTTTTTTTCAGGGAGCCCCTGTCCTTAAGTGTGTGGTCACACTTGCATAACTAGTTTGGTCAACCCTGATGTCACTGGCAGCCACACTCATGTCACCTCATCCCCAGAGTCAAGCCTTCTTTAGCCAGCCTCAGGGCATTTTAAGGTAACAAGAAAACTGCTGCTACACCTGCTTGAATTTAAATCAAAATGAATGAATGAATGAATGAATGAATGAATGTCATTCCTTTACCAACTGGACAAGAAGACACCCAGATTCCTTCAGTACTTGAGGGCTATACCTATACCAGTGCTTGGATTTCTTTCAGGTGAACTTCAGCTGGAGAGGTGAGCAACTGGAACTGCTTACTTGGGTAGGAATCCTTTCTTTCCCACTAGGCACCTAAAAAGACATGGGAGGCAATAAAGGTTGCCTTTGTTTTTCCATAATCTATGGGTCTAACTTGTTTTTCAGTGGAAAATGGCTTCTAAAGCCACCTGTAGAACTAGAAAGTTTGTCGTTTAACAGTCTAATAGAGGAATTCAGTGAGGGCTTCAAAAACAGGTGATGCTTCAGCTGAGAACTAAAGAAAGAGTGAATATTTTCAAAGCAGACAATTCAGGGTGCCATCATAATGCAAGAGAAAACACAGGAAAAGAAACAGTGCAAAAAAAAGCACGGCATCTTCAGGACATCAGAACTACTTTATTATGGCACTGTGAGTTGTGAGCAGTTAGTATGGTTTTATTTTTGCTTGGGTAAAGAGGGTTCAGAACAAAGTAGGAAGTTTCAAGAAGTTGAGGCCAGTCAAGAAAGCTGGTGTCGAAGATGCCTGGTAGCCTCCTAGTCTATTTTGCTGCTGCCTAGTTACAAGACTGCATTTTTGCAACTGGTGGCCATATAGATTCTAAGTGATGGCCAATGACATATAAGAAATCTTTAAAGTCATTACTGTTCTCTGCTGCCAGGAGCCCCCATGTGACGCCCAAGGCTCCAGAAGCCATTGTGAGATGACTAAGGGTAGGAGCTGCCCACTCAGACAGGCAAGACAAAAGACCAGAGCCTGGAGCCTGCTGAGACTGTGGGGCCACCCTCTAATCCCAGGGCTGCCAACTCAAGGTAGATTTTATAACAGAGAGAAATAAACTTTTATCATTAAAGCAACTGCTACTTGAGGATTTTCTGCCACATCTAATCAAACTTAATTGGAAATTACATAGCTGGAATAATGAGCTATATATGCCATACTAAAGAGTTTGGGTTTGTGCTCGAATAAAACTTTGGAAGAATATGATATGAGAAAAATGGACAAGATATAACAAAAGAAAAAAATAAAAGAAGTTTGCAAAAATCAAAACATCTTAAATAAAAAACTAGACTATGTAAGAAACATTTACCAATAAATTCTGATAAAATTAAACTCAATCACACATGAAATCTTTTGAGGGTATAATGTAACTATTTTGTCTGAATTATCAGAGCACTAATTAATTGATCCTCCAAGACTATTTTGTACCTGGCTGCTTAGCCACTGAAGGAGGTTCTATGGTACAGAAGAACACAGGTTCTGGAATCTCCACCCCAGCCAGTAAGAGTCTCTCTTCTTCACTGTTTTGTTTATGTTTCTTTTCTCCTTCTCTTCTGGCTCGACGAGCTGCAGCTAATGCGCTCCACTTGGATGAGACGATGGTGTCTCCGGTGGCTGTCTGCAAGCAAAGAAGATGCCTCGGGATGAAACTGGCTGTTGGTAAGCACTCAACTTCCACCAAGAGCCACAGAATGAGAAAAAATTCAATGTAGCACTTTCTTTTCATCAGTACTTAAAAGAGAGACAAATTTGTAAAGCTCATTATAACACTGCACAAATAAATCTAATTTAATGTGTATAAGAATTCTAACCAAAATACTATTGTAGTAAGTCTAACAATAAAACACATACACAGTACATATCCAAAATCCACTTGGCAAAACAAATGTACCTTCCCAAATTTTCAGTCATATAAAGACAAGTTAGGTAGAAGTTTAATAGGGTTTTTATCACCTGTAAATTTTATGACTATTTTACAAAAAAGCCTCTATTAACTAAAATATGCAATTAATCAGAATACCCTTGACCATGCAAAACTATACTTTAAATTAAATTAAATATTTTTAAAAAGATTTTATTTATTTACTTTTAGAGAGAGGGGAAGGGAGGGAGAACAAAAGGTAGGGAAACATTGATCTGTGAAAGATACATTAATTGGTTGCCTCTCATACATCCCCAACTGGGGACCTGGCCTGCAACTCAGCCACGTGCCCTGACTGAGAATTGAGCTGGCAACCTTTCAGTTTGCAGGCCAAAATTCAACCCACAGACCCACACCAGCCAGGGCTATAATTTTAATCCTATATGTTATGAAGCTCTGTGCCAGTCTCCATCTCCGTAAAGATACTCCGACTGAAGCACAAGCCCAAACAGATTTCTGTAACTCCTCCAAACACATGCAAGCAGTCCCTGCCTCCAGGCAGACAGAGGACACTGCAGTGCTAGAAATGGACCGTGGGAATTTTCTGTAAAGGGTTTCACATCCTGCAACTTCATAAAGAGTCAGAAATGGTAAAAGTCTGTTTTTTATTGTTATTTTTTTCCACTACCATTTACCTTCCTATACCCTCTTCCATCTCCAACCCCCATCCCCCACGATCACCACACTGTTGCCTATGTCCATGAGTTCTTCTTTTTTACTCTAACCCTCCACCTCCCAAGAACCCTCCAACTCTCTGCCCAGAGCTGTCAGCCTCCTCTCTCTCTATCAATGAATCTGTCTCTATTCTGCTTGTTAGTTCGAGTTGTTCATTAGATTCCACATGTGAGTGAACTCATATGGTATTTATCTTTCTCTCACTGGCTTATTTCACTTGGCATAATGTTCTCCAGGTCCATCCATGCTGCTGCAAAGGGTACATTTTTCTTTTTATATTTTAATAAGCTATTAAAACAAAAAAAAGTTGAAAGTAACAATGTTTACCCTAATGTCAAATGTACCAAAGTTTAATGAGAAACTGTACTTGACCGAGCCCATATATAAGTGAGATGCCCTTAACTGTAATCCACCAAAATACACACAGATGGCACCAAGTATTTTCTTCCTACAGTCACGAAGCACCCACTGCAATGATCCGAGGACTGAGAACAGAGACCAAGAGAGAGAGAAAGGTGTGCCCTCATGGAGCCTACACTGCAAAACCTCTTCAGTTAGTACCTGACGGGTCATGAGGCTGGATGAAATTGTGTGCAAGGATCAGAACAGGAAAACAACTCCCATGGAAATAACAATGTTTTATGTAATCTTAAAATGTATGTATGTATCTTATTTGAATAGTATACTATTTTATTTGACTTTGAATACATATAATCGTTACTTTTAACAGCCTTCTGTACTTTTTTTTTAAAAAAGGTTTTATTTATTTATTTGTTTAGAGAGAGAGGAGAGGGAGAAAGAAGAGAAGAGAAACATCGATGTGTGAGAGAAGCATCGATCGGTTGCCTCTCGCACGCCCCAACCGGGGACCTGGCCCACAACACAGGCAGAAATCCAACTGGGAACATCTGGTTTGCAATCTGGCACTCGGTCCACTGAGCCATAATTTACTTTGCTTTCTTTCTATGAGATTCAAGCATGTTGATGAATATGCTACAATATCCACTATTCCATTATCGATGGACAGTTAGATTATCTATAGGTTTTTGCTATTATAAAATACCTACTTTTAATTAAATACATAAGCTGTTATTTCCTAGAGAAACCATTCAGTCACTCACATGTTTAAGCCCAACAGTCAAAGCAATGTTGCCAGCAGTCAGTGAAGGGATTTCTACATGTTGGTTAGCAAATGGCAAAAGTAGACGACTTATTCTCTCCCTGTAAAACTATGATATATATCAGTAAAAGTATTTTTAAAGAAGCACAATTTTAGAAAATAACCGAAGCTTCTACTTACGTGCAGTTTCCATTAATATTGTAGATGGCCGACTGGGGTTTTATCACCCCTGAGTAAATGCGCACAAAAACCAGTGGTCCCTGCTGCTTGTCATGGAGAACTTTGAATGCCAGTGCACATAAGTCACCCTTGTACCACTGCCTATAAAAGTTAAGGAGACAGAAAAGCCTTTAAAATACACTTCCTATATATGTATACAGATGAGACGATAATCACTTCACAAGTTTAATCTTGAAGTCCCCCAAAGAGCCTTCATATCTTCTAGTTTTGCTACCCAGCCTGATCAAATAATGCCCGGTGCCTCTCTTCCTCCACTGGAATAAATTACTTCATGGCAATCTTACCATTAATTCCTCAAAACTAAAAGCAATTGGGACCTCTTCCAAATTTTACCTCTACTTGCAAATAATTCCAGAGCCAAGAGTTCCCTCCTCAAAAAAATATACCTAGGAACATCACACCATTTTCTCAAAAAAACCTGTACAGGGTAAATAAACAGGTACTTTCCAATTGTTGCTTTTACACTATCCTCTCACTTTTTCTCTAGTTACATAACTATATAAATTTATACTACAAATCTGAACTTGTTTACATGTCAAAATTCTTATAGAATGATGTACTTAAACTGGTGTTCATTAATAATAGGTTACGGAAACTCTGAAACCCCCTAAAATTGCCAAATTTTGTGCACAAGTGTGTTTTATGTAGGAAAAGCTCCATATTTTCACTAGTTTCAAAGGAGTCCATAATTCAAAGTAGGTTAAACATTTCTATTTCATAATATCTCCAATATTATTCCTCCAGTTTTTAACTTGATTTAATAAATATTTATAAAGCACTGTCTCATGTGCTTTATAAGTATTAACTCATTGCTTCTTGCAACAATCCTATGAAATAGGTCCTATTCTCTGCATTTCACAGATGAGAGGTTAAACACCTTGGAAGAGCTGGGATTTAAATCCAGGTAGTACACAGTCCATGCTTATAATCACTTTACTATATGCCTCTCAGATGAGAGATAGTAAAAGTGAGTAATATCCTCATTAATAGGACTGAAGTACAGTATTGGCTGCAATTTTGGACAACACTCACATTTTAGAGGATTATTAATAAGTACAAAGTTGTTAGTGACAATAGAAGTAAAACAATGACCTTTCTTTATAGCCACAAAATATTTTGAGCTTATGAAACATCTTGAAATCTAGAATAGATATAAATATATCTACAGAATATTTATCAAATCTCCCTAGTATACTACTCTTAAAATTAAAAAAAAAAAACACAACAAGATGGCAGGTCAGCCCACTTTTACACATCACTAAATCCACATTCTTAGCTCCATGTGTAAAGGTAGCAGGTTACAAGAGGTAACAAATGTCCCTTTCAAGTAAAAACTACTGTGGCACTGTATTATAGTATTTACAATATTTCTCACCAATCTATTTAAAAATGATGATCCAACTACTTGTTGTGGGATAAAAAGATCTATTTGCCTAGCTGTCTTTTCAAAGTTATAAGATTTTAATCTATGTACTTGCATACTCACAGAAATTCATAGTTGCGCTCTTCAGGTGAAGGCAAATACATAGTAATGGCATCTAACAACGGCTGGACCCCTTTGTTTTTCAGGGCACTCCCACAAAGCACGGGCACTGCTGTCCGAGCCAGGGTTACTCTGTGGATTGCAGTCTGTAGCTACAAAGCAGAGGCACAGATAAGCATTCTCTGTGCCATAAGATGGTCACATTTACAGTGTATTGGTCTCCAACCAAAATAGCTCAGAATTAGATGTCTTTCCTAACCAACCATGTAAAACAGCACTCCTCACACACTTCCATCATTCTTTATGGCCATATTCTTTGTTTTTCTTTATAACATTAATCACTAACTGGTACATTAAATGCATATTTATTAATGTCTGCCTCATCTTCCACTAAAATGTAAAATTTACATATGAACATTATAGTAACGTCTGATAAAACACTGCTAAATCCCCAGAAACCAGAAAAGTGGTTAAAGTAGGTATTTGAAAATATTTCTTGAAAAAAATTAATATACTTATGGTTTAACCTTGTTAATCTAACAGAGAAACTGGTAAGAAATTAAAGATATAAATAGTAATTACAAATTTTTCAAATGAATTGAATCCATATTAAATAAAATCCAAAAGAAAATGAGAAATCAAAGTAGAACATTTTTTTGAAAGACCTCAAAACACAAGAAAAGCTCGGGTACACTTGCCAGCTCCTGATTAGAGAAGTGGTGGGTCATTTCTACCTTAGAGTATAAGCTCTTTGAAAACAGAAATCATGCTTTGTGACTGCAGGGCACAGTGAACATCACACTTCGGCATTCAAATACTCAAATAAAAAATGTCACAATTATGGCACTTCATTCAAAAGAAAAATAACTTTTTCCCCTGTCTCAAATAACTTTAAATAGCTTAAAATTAATCTATAATTAGATCTCATGTTTTTCTTTAATTTGTTTTGGGAAAAATAACTAGGTAAAATTTGTTGGGCTCATCTTGGACCTTATTGGGTTAGCCAAAATGTTTATTTATTTTTTCCAAAAGATGGTTCTAATAGCACTTACTTGTCTTTAACTTCATTTGAAACAATTTTGTTAGATTGTATTGTGACAGCTTTCATATCAGCATGCATTTAAAAAAACTTATTGAAATTGGTGAATTTTTGTGTAGCCATTTTAGTACTGAAAATTGAAGAAAACACATTTTCAACATATTATGCTTTATTATTTAAAAAAAAGGTAGAAACACAACTGAAATGCCGAAGAAAGATTTGTGCAGTGTATGGAAAAGGACTGATTGAACACGTCAAAAATGGTTTGAGAAGTTTCATGCTGGAGATTTCTTGCTGGAAGATTCTCCACAGTTAGGTGGACCAGTTAAAGTCGATAGCAATCAAATCGAGACATTAGCCCTGGCTGGTGTAGCTCAGTGGATTGAGTGTGGGCCTGCGAACCAAAAGATTGTGGTTCGACTTCCAGTCAGGGCACATGCCTGGGTTGCAGGCCAGTACCCAGCAGGGGACACCCAAGAGGCAACCATACATTGATATTTTTCTCCCTCTCTCCTTCTCTTCCCCTCTAAAGATAAATAAACTTAAAATAAATCGAGACATTGAGAGCAATTAATGTTCTACCACACAGGAGATAGCCAACATACTCGAAATATCCAAATCCATAAAGTTATTGGTGAAATTGAAAAATTTATCTTCTATTTTATGGAAAAAATCAAATGGACTTTTTGGTCAACCCAGTATTATACACGTTATCACTTAAAAACTTTCTTTGGTAACTCTTATGTTTCACAAAGGAAAATAAAGAGTAAGTTTGCCAAATTCATGGGGAAAGGTCCTTGGCAAAAAAACAAAACCAAAAAACAAAACAAAAAAAAACAGGAATGCCTTGAAGACATCTGTCATAATTCAATTATCATCAGTATTCTACTTCCCTAGTCTCTGGTTTAATATTTTTCAAAAGAACACACACACACACACACACACACACACACACACACACAGAGGCCTGCAATGAGTTTCCACTAAAAATTAAAACAGATTCAGAAAAAAAAGTTCTGATTAAAATGATCATTATAGTAGTCTGAAAAGCCAGTAAATTTTAAATCCAAATTTCTACCTATGGGTTCCCGAAAATACTCAGAAGGATGATCTCAATGAAGAGAAAAGGCTGAGAATGAACACTTAACTTCTCTTGACTCAATACAAGGAAAAAAGACTCAATCTCTAATTTTTTAAAATATATCCCAAGCCAGTAAATCACTGCCATTATTAAGTACCCATGTATTAGTAGTGGCTTCATCTTTACATTCTCCTAATTTTTATTTAAGGCAACATTTTGTGTTAGTAGTAACTTTAGCTTAATATTTTACTAATGTTTGTTGAAGTCAACACAGTTTCCAATACTATGCAAACTTGAAGGGGGGAAAATAAAAACAGAGAAAGCAAAGCAAATACAATTAGTAAAACTTGGTTATAGTAAATGAATAATAAAATTTACCTTTTCAGCTGGTACCAAATCAAAATTTTCACTAAATTCTCCTAAAACCAAGTCAGCAAATTCATCATCCAAATCTGCAACCTATAAAGAAAGGCTTTTAGTTCTATGACTTGTGTTTGTTGTCCAACTATTAGCCTAAGTCTAAATACCATAAACATATATTTTCCAAATATTTCAAGACAGCTTCAAGAACCTAACTTATCCAGGCCGAGGACCTCTTCCTATCTTCTAAAGAGAGGTGTTTTTTTCAAAGAAAATGAAGTACTATCTATTCAGTGCTCAAAAGACATAAGAGAAAATGCACAATCTACAGCCAGTGATAACTTACACAATGGACTGCTGTTTTTAGATAAATTTGGGGGGTCTCAGTTCATCAGAAAGTTTTACCTGGGGCTCCTCTAATATTTTGAATGTTCACAAGATCTCCTGAGACCATCAGACTAAAACAACTAACCCTGCACTGAGGAAATACCTTTAAATTTGGGGGGAGGGGCACAGACATGATTTCAATAATAAAAATGCAATTATCCAATTTACATTCTTTTCATAATTGTTTGCCATTACGAAGTAGAAGAATTCAGCTGACAATACAATTAATAAATGTTTCAAAAGTTTATAATAGTACATGGGAACAAAACTTGCAAACTTGGTGAGAAAAACACACTTTTCACAGCTAACTATAGCAAAAATGCACCAAACCATCCTGAAAAGCAGCCTATGTAATGCTTAAGCACAGCTTCTGGAGTCAAACTGCCTGGAAATGACTCCACTACTTGAAAATTTACATGAAAACTTTGGTCACGGTATGTCACCACCTCTCTTTCCCTGGCTACTCATGGAGATAACACTAATACCTACCTCATGGGGCTACTGTGAGGATTAAATAACCAATTCTAATTATGCTGCCCAAACATACAGTAATTATAGAAAAAATTTATTATTTTCACTGTTCACCTGAAGGACACGGGACATTGGTTCCTATCCACACTAATCTTATTCTTTAATTTAAAAAAAAATGTGTAACTGTGATACACTACAATGTAACAGAATTTACCATCTTAATCATTTCTAAGTGAACAGTTCAGTAAAGTATATTGACAGTGATGTAAAACTAATCTCCAGAACTTTTTTGTCTCACAAAAGCAAAACTACAGACCCATAAAATAACGCTTTTCATTCTCCCCTTGCCCAGAGGCTAGCAACTATCATTCTACTTCCTGTCTCTATCAACGGAACCTGGATAGATATCTCATGTAAGCAGAATCCTGCAGTATTTGTCTTTTTGTGATTGGCTTACTTTAATTAGCAATTTAATGTCCCCAAGGTTCATCAATAATGCACATGTAAATTCCTTCCTTTTTAATGCTGAGTAATACTCCACTGTGTGCACACACCACATTTTATCTGTCCATTCACCTGTTGACAAACACCCTCCACCTCTTCCCTATTATAAATAACGCTGCTATGAAGATGTGCAAATACCCCTTTGAGACTCTGCTTTCAATTCACTTGGATATATACCCAGAAGTGGAACTGCCAGATCATATGTTAACTCTATTTTCAGTTTTCTAAGGAACCACCACACTGTTGTTCACAGTGGCTGCACCAGTGTCATTCTCACAAACAATGCAGAAGGGTTACAACTTCTCCGCATCCTTACGATACTTGTTTTATTTTTATAATAGTAGCCATCCTAACAGGACGTGGTGTTACTAATTCCATACATACATATGCATTCCTTGTAATTAGCAATTTATTATCTATGATAATATATAATAAAAATAAAATTCGAGCCTTTCATGTCCTAGAACAATATGAGGCATATATGCAAGTTTATGTTGGCTCCTCAACTACCTTATAAAATCCTTCTCAGGTTTATTCTGATAGCCCCTTTGTTGAGATAAAACAAAACCTCAAAGGAGAACCAATTATGTACCCAATTATTGATTAGTATCAATTCAACTTTTATTCTATGTTCCCTGCGTCCCCCCTCCGCCCCCAATTTGAGCAGCCATTTGGCAAAGTAAGAGCTCCAGCTCTCAACTGAGACAGATCTGGGCTCAGACTGCAGCTCTGCTATTTATTAGCGACAGGAGAACTTACTCGAGCACTGTAAGCCTCTGTTCCCTCGCTTGTAAAGTGGGGATAATGGAGGCTGTTGTCAGCATTAAATAATATATGTAAAGCATTTAAGATAGATTGTAAGTCTTCAATAACTATTATCCAATAATAAAAATAACAATGATAGTTATGTCAGTCGTAAAGTTGATAATTACTATATATTATAATGAAAAATTATTACTTCAAAAATAACTTCATACAAAAGATGAATGAAAAAATTAATTATGTGATCTATTTTGATCAGTTTAATTTAGCAGTAAGAGACTCAAAGAGTTCAGCCCTGGTAAATATGACTCAGCTGGTTGGAGCATCGTCTCATACAGGGAGAGGTCATGGGTTCAATTCCCAGTCAGGGCACGTGCCTAAGTTGGGGTTTGGTCCCTCGTTGGGGTGTGTGTGGTAGGCGACTAACTGACATTTCTCTCTCACATCGATGTTTCTCTCTCTTTTGAATCAATAAAAATAATCAATAAGTAAATTTTTTAAAAAATCAAAGAGTTCAAACTCAAATGTTCTTTTCAACCATAAAATTCAGGGAGTTTGTTTAAGGTATGTTTTACTTAATTGTTCTATATACTAACAATATCCTATAAACATTATAAATATTGGGTTGGCCAAAAGTCCATTTAATTTTTTCCGTAAAACTAAACATATTTTTCAATTTCACCAATAACTTTACTGATTTGAATTTTTTTAGTATGTCAGCTCTCTCCTGCATGATAGAATGTTGACTGTTCTTAATTAATGTCTCAACTTGATCATTTTCAACTTCAACTGGTCTACCCAACCACGGAACATCATCCAGCAAGAAATCTCCAGCACGGAACATCACAAACACTTTTGACACGCTCCATCAGTCACAGCACCTTCTCCATACACTGCACAAATTTTTTTTTGCATTTCAGTTGTTTTTTTTACCTTTCTTGAAATAATAAAGCATAACCTGCCAAAAATGTTGCATATTTTCTTCCATATTCAATATTAAAATGGCCACACAAAAATTCACCAATTTTGCTACGAGTTTTAAAAAATACATTGATTATGACAGCTGACACAATACAATCTAACAGAATTGTTTTAAATAAAGTTAAAGACAACTAGACTTCTGGCCAAGATAGAGTTATAGGTAGACACACTGTGCCTCCTCGCACAACCAAAATAAAGACAACAAAAAATTAGAAACAAACAAAAAAAACAACCAGTACTGACACAAAACTGAACTGTATGGAAGTCCAAAACCAAGGAGTTAAAACAGACACATTCATCCAGACCGGTAGGAGGGGCGGAGTCAGGCGGAGAGGGGTCGCAGCAACAGCAGTGGCTGGTGGACCCCAGGCCCGCAGGTGGCAGGCAGCAGACCCTGGAAGCGGGGTGGAAGCAAGGTCGAAGCGGGGTCGCAGCGGGCAAACCAAGCAAGGCAGCGGATTGCAGAGGAGCGTGGCATGAAAGGTGGCTGGTGGACTAGGTGGTCCCATATTCACCTGAGATAAACCAGGTGAAACTGGGAAGCAAGACAGACCACACAACCCAGGGTCCCAGCACGGGGAAATAAAGCCCCAAAACACCGATCGAAAACACTTGTGGAGCTTGAGGTGCGGGGAGAGACTCCAAACCTCACAGGAGAGTTCACTGGAGAGACCCATAGGGTCCTAGAACTTACAAAAGCCTACCCACCGGAAATCAGTATCAGAAGGGCCCACTTTGCTTGGAGGAAGCAGCGGAAAGGACTGAAATCCAGCAGAAAGCAGAGCAAGCACCATTGTTCCCTCTCTGACCACTCCCCCACAAACAGCATCGCAACCCAGCCACTGGGTTGCCCCACCCTGGCGAACACCTAAGGCTCCGCTCCTCACTACGTAACAGGCATGTCAAGACAAAAAAAAAAAAAAAAAAGTGGCCCAAACAAAAGAGCAGATCAAAGCTCCAGAACAAATAAACTAAGCAACGAAGAGATAGCCAACCTATCAGATGCACAGTTCAAAGCACTGGTGATCAGGATGCTCACAGAATTGGTTGAATCTGGTCATAAATTAGATGAAAAAATGAAAGCTATGCTAAGTGAAATGAAGAAAATACACAGGGAACCAATAATGATGGGAAGAAAATTGGGACTCAAATCAAGGGAGTGGACCAGAAGGAAGAAAAAAACAACCAAACAGAAAAGAATGAAGAAACAAGAATTCAAAAAAATGAGGAGAGGCTTAGGAACCTCCAGGACATCTTTAAACGTTCTAACATCCAAATTATAGGGGTATCAGAAGGGGAAGAGGAACGGCAACAAGTGGAAAGCTTATTTGAACAAATGAGAGAGAACTTCCCCAATCTGGCAAAGGAAATGGACTTCCAGGAAGTCCAGGAAGCTCAGGGAGTCCCAAAGAAGTTGGACCTAAGGAAGCACACAACCAAGACACATCATAATTACATTAGACAAGATGAAAGATAAGGAGAGACTCTTAAAAGTAGCAAGAGATAAGGGGACAGTCACCTACAAAGGAGTTCCCATCAGACTGTCAGCGGATTTCTCAAAAGAGACTTTACTGGCAAGAAGGGGCTGGAAAGAAGTACTCCAAATCATGAAAGGCAAGGACCTACATCCAAGATTGCTCTATCCAGCAAACCTTTCATTTAGAATAAAAGGGCAGATAAAGTGCTTCTCAGATAAGGTCAAGTTAAAGGAGTTCATCATCACCAAGCCCTTAGTATATGAAATGTTAAAGGGATTTATCTAAGAAAAAGAAGATAAAAAAACATGTACAGTAAAATGACAGCAAACTCACAATTATCAACAACCACACCTAAAACAAAAGCTAAGCAAACAACTAGAACAGGAACAGAACCACAGAAATGGAGATCACATGGAGGGTTAGCAACAGGGGAGAGGAGAGAGGGGTTAGAAGGTACAGAGAATAAGTAGCATAGATGGTAGGTAGAAAATAGACGGGGGAGGGCAAGAATAGTATGGGAAGTGTAGAAGCTGAAGAACTTGTAAGTATGACCGGTGGACATGAACTAAAGGGGGGAATGTGGGTGGCAGGAGGTGTGCAGGGTGGAGGGGAATGAAGGGGGGGAAATGGCACAACTGTAATACCATAATCAATAAAAAATATTTTTTAAAAAGACAACTAAGCACTACTAGACCCATCTTACAGGGCAAAAAAAACTTTTTGGCCAACCCAATATTAACACCCTACTATTTTCTATTAAAATTTTGAAGGTGGCTGGTGTGGCTCAGTGGACTGAATAGCAAGCAGTCTGTGAACCAAAGGGTCGCTGGTTCAATTCCCAGTCAGGGCACATGCCTGGGTTGCAGACCAAGTCTCCAGTAAGTGACACTTGGGAGGCAACCACAGGTTGATGTTTCTCTCCCTCTATTTCACCCTCCCTTTCCCTCTAAAAATATATAAAATATTTAAAAATTTTTTGAAGGTGGATGAGGTCTGAAATTATACATTAACTATAAAATTGATGGTTTTAAATTTTTCTAAATAATCTGATATCCAGTCAAGTAATAGATGGGCACATCCTCTGACCTAGCAATTTCACTCCTAGGTTTAACTCTAAACGAGTTTTTGCTTATGTGCACAAGGCGACACATTCAAAGATGTTCACAGCCACACTGTTTGTAATAGTAAAAAAAATTGATAACAACCTCAAAGTTCATCCATAGGAAAACATAATAAATCATGGTACAATCATATACTGCCACACTATAAGACTAAGAATGAGTGAAATATAACCACATGTAATAACATGGACAAATCTCCAACATAATGTTGAACAAAATATCATTCCATTTATATAAAGTTCAAAACCATAAAATCTTAGTTCTTTAATGATACACATATTTGTAATATACTATAAAAGAAAGTAAATGTAAGATAAACTCTACAATCATATAGTGATTGGGGGAGTAGATAATGAGTGGGAGAGAGAGAGAGATAAATAGGAAGTGACACATGGAAACCTAAGAGTATGGCATTTAATACTCTGCTCCTTAAGTCACTGGTACATACACTGGAGTTCACTTTAATATTCTTATACCTTCCATGTTCTATATATAATTTTATATTAAATTTCACAAAAAAAAATTTTTAAGTTTCTAAATCTTATGCATTTTAAACTGAAAGTATTTATTTTACTTGTTCGATTAAGGCACTCCTTGCTTCAGTTGCCTCCTTCAGCAATTCAGGGTCACTCATTTCCAAAAGGGGTTTTCTCTCAAAGTCTTTTCCATCATCGGAATTGGAATTCCAAAGGAGCTTTTCTTTACTTACTACATCCACCACTCCTTTGAAATTTTTGGCTTCACCAATTGGTAACTATAAATCGAAGTAAAAATAACATTAAATGATCACTCAATGAGAACAGCACTGGAGATAAATCTCATCTTTCCACCAAATGTCCATTATTATTCCCTTAATCTTACCTATTTTTATTTATATCCCAATTTCTTCCAAAGAGGACCTGAGATAGCTTTAGAAGTATATATGTCACAATAAGTCAACTCATGAGGAAACTGAGGAGCTACTGTTATTAATCAACCAACCTGTAAAAGCAAAGGCTTTGCCTTCAACTTCTCTCTGATGCTTTCAACTGCATAGTTAAAACTGTAGAAAGTAGAATAGTTACACTGTAGTTAAAAATGTTAAGATTTCAAAAACAGGTTTAAGAATGCTCTCTAAAATTATAACCCTTTTCATAGTTCCTAATATTCACCACTTCACGGTCTTCCACAGGACATCTTAAATAAAATTTTAATGTCAGGTAACAGTAACTGAGTATATACCAGAATCTGTCACACAGGTTATTCAGGGTATTATCATTGTTAGCTTCACTTTAACTAAGTTTGAGGTTAAGGTTACCTGAATTGATCAAACTCATAGATAATAAACTGTAGCCAGGATTCAAATGCAAGATTTGTGATTACAAGCCAAGGAGTCTTCTAATACCTACTTGTTATCGTACAGGGCTACCAGCTTTCTCCCAAGAGCAGGTCTAATTTTTCTATACCTTTACCTCAGGCACTCTTAATATCATCTGCTAGACTGTTCACTTCTGTGCTAAAACTGGGGGTTGGCTGTCTATGGCACTCATGTTATCTTTGGCACATGGGCTTATTCTGGTCCCATTTTCTTTGAGAACCAGCCTGGCATCTTGTCACTTCCCTCCCCATCATTACAGGTGCTGTAAGTCAGTAAAAGTAGTATTTTCATCTACCTCAAGAAACTCCAAACAGAAAAGGATCAGAACTTGAGCCTCAACCACTTGGAAGGTTGTGCTTTATTAATCAAAACAAAAGTCCTTTAAGCCAACAACCTTAGAATTAGTGTCGAGATTTACCTAAACACAAAGCACACTGTGTGGTGGGAGGGAAGATACAGTTTATGTTTGTTTCTGCCACTCTCACACCAGACCACGTTTCCCTAGAATCCTTTATATTCTAGATTGTCTTTTTCATATTTTCTCCAAATCCTTCATATATTCTTGATATTCTGAATTCTGAATTATGTTCTCAGAATAACGTATCATTTTTGGTTACACCTGAGAATTACCACAACATTTCAGCATTAACTCAGTTGCAGATCTTACAACATTTATCAACATTCTCCTCTCCCACTTCCTTTCTGTGGAGAACATATTACCCAATAGCTACAGGAAATCAGAGGACAAGAAAGAACATGGATCTCTGAGGCAACTACAGGAAACAATTCTCTAACCTCTACACTGACAGGGGGGGCACCGTAACCTCTAGCAATACATACAGGGACTACACCATACAGCTCTAAACAGAACCAATGGAAATCAACAAGACACCACACTGCCATGATCCTAGAAAACAGAATATAGTCTCTCTATACTAGAATTAGGATAGTTCATCATCTGTCAGCTCTCTATTAATCTCTCCTTATTACTTAACCTATGAATGAGATGCTTTTTAAAAAAAATAGGACTAAATAGAGATTTCATGCATTATTTATACTCTACAGGAAATAACAATTTCTAAATTTAAGTTATATTCCATTAAAAGTTCAAATTGTATTCTTACTTTGATAAGCCAAAAAAACACACTTTAAATAAATACCTCGCTCCAGTTTTGTCCATCTTGTTTAAAAAACAGATTCGAGGTATCTGGTGTTTATCAGCTTGCCTCCATACTGTGAGAGTTTGTGCCTAAAGCAAAGCGCAAATATTGGACAAAAATAACCGTTACTACACATGGAATAAAGAGATCTAAGGCTCTATTATTACATGGAATTGGGCCTTATTGTAGCACAGAATTAGTGGCACTGTATTTACACTTCCAGAGTTGTTCTTTTGCTATTAGGTTAACACCTCTAAGAATGTAACAAAGTGTGACAAAACGTATGTCTCAAACTCAGAATGATACTTTGAGTCAACTAGGTGGCCACACAAAAAGAATTAACACCCGGGAAGCAATGAGAGTCATGGAAAGAGGACTAACCAAGAATCAGATTTCCTTTTTGTTTGGCTTCCCCTCATCTGGGTGTTGTCACACAACAGTGAGCTTCTGTGTTCTGATCTGCGAAATACGGACTTTTGCCTGAATTCAGACACTTGGGATTTTAAAAGAACAGAGGTATACTATAAAAATGCTGTGACAAAAATTGTGTATTTCTACTGTGACTGAATGTTCATGTAAACTGAAGAAGATTTAAGGGGAAAAAAACAAGCCAACACCTGTGTTTATAAGCTGCAATTCTCACATGCTTTTCTCTTTGACTTAATTCTACTTTGTGCACACATTAGATACAAATACTTTAAGTCTGACATACCTGTGCCTAGTGGAGTGCAACAGCCTTGAAAAGAGCATAAAAATCCTAATGTGCTATCATTCATTAAAAGTAAAGCCAACTTATACTTTGACAGTTTTATTAGGTAAAATTTATACATGTACATAAATAATAAATAAAATATACAGCTCTTAAGTATACAGGTCATTAAGTTTTGATAAATGAATACACTTGTATACCTACTGTCCCAATCAAGATATAGAACATAGAGCCTAAGAAATTTTTCTTATGCCCCACTCCCCCAAAAGTGACCTATTCTGAATCCTATTTTTCCATTACCATTTATCCCCTTTATCCTCCCTCCCCCCTGCAATCATCACACCATTGTCCACGTCCATGAGTCCTTTTTCCTCAATCCCTCCACCCCCTAACATGCCCCCAATACTGTCTTCTGCTCTCCAACTATGGGTCTGTCTCTATTTTCCTTGTTAATTCAGTTTGTTCACCAGATTCCACATGTGAGTGAGATCATAAGGCATTTGTCTTTCCCTGACTGGCTTCTTTCATTTAACTTAATGTTCTCTAGATCCATCCATGCTGTCCCAGAGGGTAAAATTTTCTTCTTTTCTACAGCTGGTAGTATTCCATTGTGTAAATGTCCCATAGTCATTTTCTCCCCTCATTTACTGAAGGGCCCTTGGGCTGCCTCCATATCTTGGCAATTGTAAATAATACTGCAGTGAACATAGGGGTGCTTATGTTCTAATGAGTGCTTTGGGTTTCTTCAGATATAGTTCCATAAGTAGGATCCCTGGGTCATAAAGCAGTTCCATTTTTAATTTTTTGATCTATCTCTATACTGCTTTCCATAATGGCTGCACGAGGCTTGCATTTCCCCCAACAATGCAAGAGGGTTCCCTCCTTTCTCCACATCCTCGCCAGCACTTGTCATTTGTTGATTTATTACTGATAGCCATCCTGACAGGTGTGAGATTGTATCTTATTGTGGTTTTAATTTGTATTTCTTTTATGACTAGTGATGATGAGCATCTTTTCATATGTCTATTGGCCATCTGTGTGTCCTCTTTGGAGAAGTGTCTAATCAGGTCCTTCACCCATTTTTTATTCTTTTTTTTTTTTTGGTGTTGAGTTTTATAAGTTCTTTATAAATTTTGGATATTAACCCCTTATCAGATATAGCAGTGAATATGTTCTTCTATTCTGTGGGTTGTCTTTTTATTTCGTTGATGATTTCCTTTGCTGTACAAAAGTTTTTAGTTTGATGTAGTCCCATTTGTTTATTTTTTCTTTTGTTTCCCTTGCCTGAGGAGATACATCCGATAAAAAATGTCAGAGATTTTGCTGCCTATGTTTTCTTCTTGGATTTTTATGGTTTGGGGTATAATATTTAAGTCTTTAATCCATTTTAAATTTATTCTTGTGTGTGGTGTAAGAAGGCGGTCTAGTTTCATTTCTCTGCAAATATCTGTCCAGTTTTCCCAACACCATATATTGACTAAACTATCATTAGCCCATTGTATGTGCTTGCTTCCTCTGTCAAATATTAATTGACTATAAAAGTGTGGGTTTATTAAAAAAATAAAAATAAAAATAAAAAATAAAAGTGTGGGTTTATTTCTGGGCTCTCTATTCTGTTTCATTGATGTATATGTCTGTTTTTATGCCAATACCATGCTCTTTTGATTACTGTGGCCTTACAGTACCGTTTGATATTATATAGTGTGATTCCTCCAACTTTGTTCTTCTTTTTCAGGGTTGCCACTGCTGTATGGGGCCTTTTGTGGTTCCCTGTAAATATTTGAAACACTTGTTCTAGTTCTGTGAAACATGTCACCAGAATCTTGATAGGAACTGTGCTGAATCTATACATTGCTTCGGGTAGCATGGACATTTTGATGATGTCAATTCTTCGTATCCAAGAACACAGTATGTGTTTCCGTTTATTTGTATCCTCTTTCATTTCTTTTTCAGCATCTTATACTTCTCTGAGTACAGGTTTTTTATACCCTTGGTCAGATTTATTCCTAGGTATTTTATTCTTTTTTTGAAGCAATTATAAATAGAATTGTTTTCTTAAATTCCCTTTCTGATAGTTCATTATTGGCATATAAAAATGCAACTGATTTCTGGATATTAATTTTGTGTCCTACTTTGCCGAGTGCATTTATCAGCTCTAGTAGTTTCTTGGTGTAATCTTCAGGGTTCTCTATGTAATGTATCTGTCACCATAGATTTATTCTGCCTATTCTTGAATCTCATATATAGACATGGTCTTTCGCTCAACATATTTGTAACAATTACTCATGTTGTTGGGTATTTTGGCTCACTCATTTTTATTGCTAAATTCCTTTGTATAAAAATACTGGTTTGTTTTTTCTATCCACCTGTGGATGTACATGGGTTGTTTCAAGTTTGTTATTATGAATTTCGCCACCTAAGCATTCTTAACATATCTTTGGTGGACATATGTTTTCATTTCCTTGGATGAAGATACAGGAGTAAAATTATTGGGTTATAAAACAGGTGTATATTTAACTATATTACAAACTGCCAAATAGTCTTCCAAAGCGACTGTAATATTATATAGTCCCATTAACAAGATATGAGTTCCATTTGCTCCAAATCCTCAACCCACAGTGGCCATCATTCTTATTCAGTCCTTCTTGTGGGTGTTAAATGGTCTCTTTTTGTAATTTTAATTTGTATTCCCTTTTGACCAATGAGACTAAACATCTTTTCATGTGCCTACTGCCCACTAACATATCTTCCGTATTGAAGTTATCCATTCAAGTCCTTTGTTCATTTTTAATCGTGTTGTTCATTTTTATTATTGATTAGCAGTTCTTCATATATTCTACAAATCCTTGTCAAATACATGTAGTGTAAGAATTGCAGCACATATTTCCTAAGATAATGATATCCACCCACATAACCAACAGTGTTTCTGCACTCAGGAAATTCAGCATTTGTGTACTTGTTTTTCCGCTAGAAGCTATACAGATTTAGCTTAACACTATGATCCACTCCTAACTAAATTTTGATTATGGTGATGAGGTTTTGGTGGTGGGAGGGAATATATTATAAGTTTCTCCTAAACAAAACATATTTTTTTTAATTTTATTGATTATGCCATTACATTTGTTCTATTCCCCCCTCCACCCTGCATGCCCCTCCCCCACCATTCCCCCCCTTTAGTTCATGAACACGTGTCTCAAGTTCTTTAGATTCTGTATTTCCCCTACTATTCTTACCCTCCCCCTATCTATTTTCTATCTACTGTCTATGCTACTTATTTTCTGTACCTTCTCCCCCCTTCTCCTTCTCCCACTCCCCTGTTGCTAATCCTCCACATGATCTTCATTTCTATGATTCACTCCTGATCCAGTTGTCCTCTGAATTTGCTTTTGTTTTAGGTGTGGTTGTTAATAACTGTGAGTTTGCTCACAGTGAGTTCAACTTTTTTATCTTCTTTTTCTTAGGTAAATCCCTTTAACATTTCATATAATAAGGACTTGGTGATGATGAACTCCTTGAATTTGGTCTTATCTGAGAAGTACTTTATCTGTCCTTCCATTCTAAATGAAAATTTTGCTGGATAGAGCAATCTTGGTTGTAGGTCTTTGGTGTTCATGACTTGGAATACCTCTTTCCAGCCCCTTCTTGCCTGTAAGGTCTCTTTTGAGAAATCAGCTGACAGCCTGATGGGAACTCCTTTGTAGGTGACTGTCCCCTTACCTCTTGCTGCTTCTAGGATTCTCTCCTTCATTTTAATCTTGGCTAATGTAATAATGATGTACCTTGGTGTGTTTCTTCTTGGGTCCAACTTCTTTGGGACTCTCTGAGCTTCCTGGATTTCCTAGAAATCTATTTCCTTTGCCAGATTGGGGAAATTCTCCTTTATTATCTGTTCAAATAAGGTTTCCACTGGTGGCTGTTACTTTCCCCCTTCTGGTACCCCTATAATTCGAATGTTGGAACGTTTAAAGATGTCCTGGAGGTTCCTAAGCCTCTCCTCATTTTTTTTGAATTCTTGTTTCTTCATTCTTTTCTGTTTGGCCAATATTTGCTTTCTTCTGGTCCACTCCATTGATTTGAGTCCCAGACTCCTTTCCATTACTATTGGTATCCTTTGCATTACCATTCATTTCAATTAGTTTAGCTTTCATATGTTTCTCTAATTTGTGACTAAAATCAACCAGTTCTGTGAGCATCCTGATAACCAGTGTTTTGAACTGTGCATCTGAAAGTTTGGCTATTTCCTCATCACTTAGATTTATTGGCTCAGGGGCTCTGAGTTTTTCTTGAGCCATTTTTGGTCTATTTGCGCCAGTAAGTAAGGGGGGCAAAGCCTTAGTTGTTCACCAGGGTGGGGCCACCCAGGTCGCTGGTTTGTGACGCTGCGTGTGGGGGCGGGGTCAGAGAGGGAGCAATGGCGGTCCTCTCCATTAGCCCAGTCCGTCCCCTTTCACCACTGCCCCAGCCTGTTCATCCAAGCAGAATTGTGGGAGCCTGGTGCCCCGCGCCCTGCGGTCTCAATACTGGCCTCTTCACTGGTTTATCTGGACGCAAATGCGCGACCTACCACAGACAGCCAGCCACTCCTCTTCCCTGTGTGCGCCTCTTCCCTGTGTGTGCCCGTAGTGAGCCTGCGATCTGATCCGCGCCTTCAGCTGCTTGCGCGCCACCAGGTCAGGGATCTTTTCGGTCAACCGGCTTCGCTGCTGGCTTACCCGTTTAGCCGAGCATTTCGTCCTTTATTTATTTATTTATTTTTTCGGACTCCGTATTGTCGATTTTCTGTGTGGTCTGGTTGTAATTATCGTTGTTAAAAATAGTTGTTCTTAGATTTGGTTGTACACGTAAGTGAGGTGGGTCCACCTACACCTCCATCTTGGCGGAAGTCAACAAAACATATTTTTAAAAAATTAAAGACTCCCATCATTCCATCAGCTAGCTAAAAACCTGTTTCACAAACAAAAGCCTCCTATGTCACAAATTTAACTTCCTATTCCAGCATATTTGAATCTTAAATAATGCAGTCTGTCTGAATGATTACATGTCAAATTTATATAAAGATGTTATAATGATGCCCTGGCTGGCATAGCTCAGTGGATTGAGCACGGGCCTGCGAACTAGAGTATCGCGATTCGATTCCCAGTCAGGGCACATGCCTGGGTTGCAGGCTAGTTCCCGGCAGGGGACACAGGACAGGCAACCATACATTGATGTTTCTCTCCCACTCTTTCTCCTTCCCTTCCCCTCTCTCTCGGGGGAAAAAAAAAAAGAACTGTTAAAACAACAAAAAAAAGATGTTATAATGACAAAAAGCATGAAACCATCAGGAAATGAAGCAACTCAGAAAGAAACAGAAATAACAGTATGTGATCAACTTTGGACCTTGGTGTCAGGCTTTGCATCAAGCAAATGTCACTGTCTATTGAGGTCTGTAGGCAGGGCATTCAGTAACTGCTTCCTTAACTCCCTCCCAACTTTACACGTTGAAAAATTTCAAATCTAGGGAACAGGTGAAAGAAGAGTACAATAAACATACGTGTCCCCTTCATCCAGATTCACCAAATATTAACATTTTGCCACACCCGTTTTTTTTCTACAAACACATGCATATGCACACATTACACATGCATGGTGGCTATGAAAATATGCCACCTAGATCTACTCTGAGAGCATAACTAACTGTGGCCCCACCTGCTGCCCTTCTAGGTCTACCATTGTGTTCTCTCAAGGCCCAGCTTCTTGTGGGCTGTCCCTAGCTAATGAGTGAGCTCAGCAGGACAAATGGAGGCCTATGCGTGCAAGACAAGGGACTCCTCTAACCAGTGACTTGGGCTCGAGGACTCCCCACCAGTTTAGCCAAACCCTTTTTGGAACTGTGCTGCAGTCTGACACTCTTCCTACACAATCCGCCTTCCTTCCCCTTCCCTTTCTAAGTGTCAAACGTGCCCTGTGATCTGAAAGCTCTCTCTCACTTTCCTCATTTCTCCCTTATTCTTTACAGGGATTTCCCCCAATTAATCTCCTACACATCTAATTTCATCTTGTCATCTATTGCTCAAAAGTACCCAAACTAATACTGTGTGTGTGTGTGTGTGTGTGTGTGTGTGTGTGTGTGTGTGAAAGAGAGAGCTGAACCATAAGATCAAAGTACAGATATCATGACATTTCATTTCTAATACTTTAGTATATATTTCCTATATACTAACATAATTAATTATGATCATATTCAGAAGAATTTAAGTTGACAAAATACATATAGTCTATACTCAAATTTCTCTGATTTTCCCAATGATGTCCTCTGTAACTTCCTTTTTGTATCCAGGATCAAGCTAAAGATCATATATTATACCTGGTTTTCTTGTCTCTCTAGAAGCCTTCAATCTAGAACAGTTCCTCTAGCCCTGGCTGGTGTGACTCAGTTGGTTGGAGCGTTGTCCCGTAGACCAAAGGCTTGGGGAGTGGGTTCAATTCACAGTCAGGGCACATACCCAGGTTGCAGATTCGATACCTAGCTGTGGCATGTATGAAAAGACAACTGATCGATGTCTCTCTCCCACATCAATGTCTTTCTCTTTCTCTGTCTCTGTCTCCCTACCCCCACCCTGTGAAAAAATGTCCTCAGGTGAAAATAAAAAAATTTTTAAATGAACAATTTTCTAATTTTTAACTTCACCCTCAATCGCTGTTTTCAGAAATTAAAACAGTTTTTCGATTTCTGAAAAATCCCAGTCATTTGTTTTGCAGAATGTCTTTCCATTTAGATCTGATTGTTTTTTCATGATTAGATTTGTACCAAGCATTTCTGCCAGGAATACAAAATAGGTTACATTGTGTTCTTACTGCATCTTATCAGGAGGCCCATGGCATCAATTGGTCCCATTTTGGGAATGTTAATTTTGATCACTTCATTAAGATACTACTTTCAGTAATTTTAAGATTAGAAGAACTAATATGAGTTCTTCTATATACAACCATTCTTAAGACAAATGAGGTAGCAGCTAAAGAGAGCATAACTGACCCCAGCAGCAATAATTTATTATAAGTCCATTTTCATGACTTATTCAAGAAGCTTTATATTGACTGTTGAGAAACAATTCTTCATGGGCCTCTCATGTTTCTGCCTGTTTTGTTGGGAGAGGCACACACTGTTTTTGTTCTGGACTGTATTTTCAAGGATGTTTGTAGTGACCATCTTGAAAAGAGAAACAGTGTCTCTCTCCCAAGCAAAGAGCAGGCATTTTCCAAGCACAGCATTTCCACAGTATGTGTGGCCGTCACCTGATTCCCTTCAGGTTGCCCTTGGGACTTAGGACAGGGGAACCAGCACAAGAAAATGCTGATACACTGGCTGTCACTATTTCTGTGACTAATAAAGTCTTTTACCTCTGACTCAGGGAATCTTGTTTCTCCTCCCAGAATCCACAAAACTGTTGCATGCTAACTTGTTAGCATGATAATTAGGTAGAATCTCAGGCCCTTCACAGTTCAACTCTACTTTCATATTTTGCAAAGAAAAGCAAACATACTTTCTGCTAACAACGAAATATCTGAGATTCTATAAAGAAACCATCTCAATATTAAATTCCAACTTCCTTTAATCATAATTTGATTTACATCAGCTTACCAAACAAAGGGTTATAGTAAACTAAATCTGATAATTCTACTTTTTTAAAAAAATCATGCTGCTCTATCTTTATTTTTCTTTGGCAATTTTTTTTACCTCTACACCAGCAGAGGCATCAAATACAGCCACCGCACCATCTAACACTCTTAGGCAGCGCTCAACCTCCAAAGTAAAATCCACATGACCTAAGAAAAAGAGGAAAAATATAACATTTAAAATCTTAAAACAAAATTTAATAAAGTGTGACTTGGCAATCCCACTTTTGGGATATATCTAAAAGAACTGAAAGGACAGTATCAAAAAGATACACGCGCAGCTATGTTCACAGAAGCACTATTCACAATGGCCAAGAGGTGGCAGCAACACTCATGTCTACTGATGGCTGAGTGGTATATACACAAAATGTGTTAAATATGTACCATGGAATACTACACAGCCTTAAAAACGAAGGACACACTGTCACCTTCTACAGCATGAATGAACTTCAAAGGACTTTATGCTAAGTGACATAAGGCAGTCACAAAACAATAAATATTGTATGACTCCACTTATGTGAGGTATCTGAAGTTGATTCCATAGATGTAGAATGTAGAATGGAGGCTACTGGGAGTGGTAGGAGCAGACAGAAAAAGAATGGTTGTTTAATGGGAATAGAGTTTCAGTTCTGCAAGATGAAAAAGTTCTGGAGATCTATATCATAACAATGTCAATATACTTAACGCTGCTGAACTGTACACTTAAAAATGGCACAAATGGTAAATTTTATACTATTGTGTTTTCTACAATAAAAAAACCACAAACACAAACAAAAACCTCAAATGATGCAGCATCTCTACACTGCTGGAACATCGCCATACCTGGTGTGTCAATTAGATTGACTCTGTACCCCTTCCAGTCAAACGTAACAGCAGCGGACTGAATAGTGATGCCTCTTTCTCGCTCTTGAGCCATGAAATCTGTCACCGTGTCTCCATCATCAACATCTAACCAGGAAAAAAATGAAATACTTAGATTTAATTGCAAGTGTTTTTTCTTTTTTCTTTTTAATTTTATTTCTTTATCTTTAGAGGGGAAGGGAAGGAGAGAGGGAGAAAAATATCAATGTGTGGTTGCTTCTCGTGCATCCCCTGCTGGGAACTGGCCTGCAACCCAGGTATGTGCCCTGACTGGGAATCAAACCACGATCTTTTGGTTCACAGGCCCATGCTCGATCCATTGAGCTACACCAGCCAGAGCAATTTTCTTGGTATTTGATATCTATCTGACAATTTAATTGGCTTGAAACACATTAGTTGTAAAATATTTGGTTTAATATTAAGAGGCCTTAATCCTTCTCTAAATAAACCCTTGTTCTAGAAAAATCTTTTTCAGTAAGATTAGTAATTTTCCCATGAAAAATAATTTTTCTATAACTAAGATTAAAATCTGTTTAAATATTTTAATGTTACTGAACTATATACTTCTTTCATTTTTTTCCTAGTTTAGCTTTCATTATTCCTTCTTCATCTGATGTTCCTTACACCTGATTTCTTGGTCAAAGGCAGAGCAGTGCAATGAAAGAGCACAGAGACGGCTAGATTCAAATGCCAACTTTATTGCTTCCTATTCTGTGATCTTGAACAAGATACTTAACCTAGTTTGTAAAAGCAAGCTAATAAAACCAAACTTGCTGGGTTGTTATAAGAATGAAATAGGCTATATATAAAGTACCTAGCTCAGAAAATGTTAAGTAAATGGTAGCTATATACGGAAAAATGTAGAGAAAATATTCCTCTCAAGTTTTCCTTTATAAACTCTTCTCATTATTAAATTTTAAAAAGGGGGGGAATTTATTCGTATAAATGCAAGTAAAGTCTTAGTAGAACTTCTACAGCATAAAGTCACCGGTAAAGTTCATCCTGATGACCAAAATGGTCACTGAAATTAATCTGTAATAAAACTCTTTATTAAAATCAATTAATTTTTTCAATTAGTTTACACTCAATATTATCTCTGTATTAATTTCTGCATACAAGTATATGCTGTGTACAGCAAAGTGGTTAGACAATCATATATTTTACAAAGTGCTCCCTCCGATGTTTCTATGACCATCTGACACCACACATTGTTATTAGGGTATTACTGACTATATTCCCTATGCTGTACTTGACATGCAGGTGACTATTTCATAACCACCAATTTGTACTTCTTAATCCCTTCACCTTTTTCACCCAGTCCTCTAACCTACCTTCCCATAAAATTCTTAACTTACACATTTTATTCTAATTAAATTTATATAGTAAAAGACATGAAAAAGAGGATGTCCAGTCAAGGTGACAGAGTAGATAGATAAATACTGTGCTTGCCTCCTTCCATAACATCAAAACTACAACTAAATTATAGAACAACCATCACTGAGAACCACCTGAAGACTAGCTGAACAGAAGTCCTATTCCTAAGGATATAAAGAAACCATGCTGAGGCTGGTGGGTTGAGGGGTGAGACAGAATGGGCAGGTTCCACGCCCATGGTGGCCCCCCTGAGAAGCCAGAGGTCCCAGCCCCACATCAGGCTCCCTAACCCAAAGCTCCAGGGCCAGTAATAGGAGTGCCCATAACATATGACTGTGAAGCCAGCAGAGACTGTGTCCAAGACGGAAGATGGCTGGAGAGCTAGGCGTCCTCTTGAGGGGCCCGCTCGAGGACTCACCTGCTCACAAACTCACTTGCTCTGGACTCCAACACAGGGGCAGCAACTTTAAAAGCACCAGGAACACACGGGGAGGAACTAAATAGACTAGCTTTAGAGCAAGGGCTGAAAGAGCAGGGGTTGGGAGAGCTTTCTCTGGAGATGGAAGTGCTGGTACCCTGTTCCTTTGTTGAGCCCGCCCCCAAGCAGCAGATATAGCACAGGCAGAAACCAAATCTGCTATTAACCTGGTTAATACCTCTTGCCCTACCCTAGAGATTCCCTGAGATTCTACCTCACCCAACTTGTGCACCCAACCAAATCTCTTCCAGCAGTTTTTTAAAACAAGTGGGCTGCCTTGGCTCAAGCTGCAGACCCAACCAAGCAGACTTTCTCAAAATCTCTCAAAGGTCCAAAACTCCAGAACAAGCAGCAGCTGGCCTTGGTGTGCTCTGAACCTCTGGCTAAGTGACTCTGACTCCAACACCACTAAACGGTGACTGGTCTCAACCTGCATTGTGACTTACATCAGGTGACCCCACACTTGGCATAAACAGTGACCAGTCTTGCTTTACAACACAGCTGCAAATAAGTGGCCACAAGCCCAGCACAAGTGGCAGCTGGCCTGAGCTCAGTGGTGTCCATCAAAGGGTCCCATGCCCAGACTCGTGGCAGACAGCCTAGGTTTGCAGCACAGCCTCTCCACAACGCCTCTAAGCCCAGCGCAAATGGCAACCAAACACCAGCTACTTTGCAGCTCCTACCAGACCCAAGCAGGGCACAAGCTGCAGCTAACTTTGTCTAGCATCAGAGACCCTCCCAAGAGCTTCAAGAACCAACACAACTGGTGGCCAGCTTCAAACCACACTGGAGCACCACCCAACCCGCTCCACAAAGACACACAAGAAAGGTGAACTTGGCTGGCACCAGAGCCCCACTAAAGTGACCCCCCACTCCATGGGGTCAACACCTGCACAACAGCTCACCTGCTGGTGCCATAGCTATGGCCACCCTTCAGAGGCACTCAGCCTGAGGGTCAATCCCACCCATGATGGGCCAACAGCAATCAAGGTTCAACCGCTACAGGAGGGCACGCACAACCTGCACAAGGGACACCCTGGAAGTACCTGGCTCAGGTAACCAGGGAGATTGCACCACTGGGGCACACAGGACACCTATCTGTGAGCCACTCTGCCAAGACTGGGAGTCGTAGCAGATCTCCCTACATAGAAACAAACACGTGAAGTCAGCCAAAATGAACAAAGAAACATGTCCCAAATGAAAGAACAGAACAAAACTCCAGAAAAACAAAATAAAATGCAGACAAGCAATCTATCAAATGCAGAGTTCAAAACACTGATAATAAGGATGCTCAGTGAACGTAGGAGAAGAACAGATGAACTCAGGGAGAATTTCAACAAAGAGGTAGAAATCAGTTTTTAAAAAGTCCAATCAGAAATGAAGAATATGATAACTGAAATAAAGACTATGTTAGAGGGAATCAACAGCAGATTAGATAAAGACAAGGTAGCAGAAAATACCCAAATTGGAAGAGCAAAAAGGAAGAGGGTTAAACAAATAAGGGTAGCAGAAGGGACCTCTGGGCCAACATCAAGTATACCAACATCTGCATTATAGGAATACCAGAAGAAGAGAGTGAGCGTGGCATTGAGAACCTATCTGAGGAAATAATGATGGAAAACTTCCCTAACATGGTGAAAGAAATAGACATAGCTCCAGGGAGTGCAGAGAGTATAAAACAAGATACACTCAAAGATGCCTGCACCAAGACACATCATAATTAAAATGCCAAAGCTTAAAGACAAAAGAGAGAATCTTAAAAGCACCAAGAGAAAAGAAGCAGTTAGTTCCCTACAAGGGAGTACCCATAACACTGTCAGCTGATTTCTCAACAGAAACTTTGCAGGCCAGAAGGACTGGCATTAAATATTCAAAGTGATGAAAAACAAGGAACTACAAGCAAGATTACTCTACGTAGCAAGGCTGTCATTTAGACTGAAGAACAGATAAAGAGCTCCCCAGACAAGTAAAAGCTAAAGTAGTTCACCACCACTAAACCAGTATTATAGGAAATGTTAACAGAACTTCTAAAAGAAGAAAGGAAATAAATCAAAACTATCAGGGAGTGACATCAGCAACATGGCAGTGTGAGAGAGGACCTCTAGGTCTCTCCCCTTGAAGATACAAGTTGGACAGCTATAACGCAACAAAGGATCCTTTTCAATACACAAACATGTCTGAGAGATCCACACATTGACGCCTCTGAAGGTGGGCTCATTGGTCACCAGAGTGAACAGGGAAGATGGGATGGGGAAAAAGGACAGAAACAGAAACTGCACGCAGACTGGTGCTTGCTCCCACCCCAGCGAATGCTATAGCAGTGAAGGGTGGGGATGCAGCCTCAACTGAGCAGACCAGACCAGAGGGGCAGAGGCGACATCAGACCTGAATGGCTGGCACACACTGAGGATGAGCCCAGGGCCGGGAGCAGGGGAGCTGTGCGAGAGGTGACAACATTCCTCAAACCTCCATCACAAGGATCAGACAAAGGAACCCACCATACCCAACCTCTCCTGGCCCACCAAGCTGTAAAATCCTCACTTGACAGATCACAAAAAGGCCAGAAAAAACTTTCCAGCATAACTGGCTGGTACTCATTGCTGCTAAAAGCACTGGAGAGATCAGAGCTGCAGATTCTGGAACCTGCCTCCCCCAGCCCTCCCCGCTGCTACCCATTGTGGTGGCACAGCTAGTAGCCTTTGGCTGCAGGAAGGCTGCATCAGGTACACATAGGCCACGAGACCCAGCACCTGCCACTTCCCAACATGGGGATGGTGTCCTGAGATAGAAGCAACTGAGATGTAAAGGGAATCCCCACCTGTTCAGGGAATATGGGGAGTTTTCCATGACCCAGGCAACACTACCTGACAGAGATCCCAGAAGGCCCAGAAGTACAGATGAGAGAAAATAAAAACTTGTGCTTCAGCACCACCTACTGGAAAACAACAGAAAGACCTCTCCTACAAATCTGCTACACAGTGAAGAGTCAAATTTAAAAAAAGAAAGATGCCCTTCTCACAAATGCCCAGGCAGAGAAATAATCAACAAGCCCAGTAAATAACCAAGGCAACAAGGGAGTTCAGAAAGAAAATGAGAAATCTCCAGAAAATAAACTTAAAGACATGGAAGACTGATTTAAATAAGACTGCAGCTCTGAGGAAACTCAACATATAAATGACATGAAGAATGAACTAGGAAGCTTAGGAGGTAGAACAGACCACTTACAGGAAATTAG